TTTCTATATCGATATGTATCACGATATTTGAGCCATGATATGATATGTATCACAATATGTTGAATTGGTTATAAAATCTTTTATTTGGATTGAAATGAACACAACATTCCTGCACAAATAAGAATAATTTATTCAAAGAAGTTGTATACCTGTTATAAAACAAAATAATTTTACCACAAGTGGTGTTAATTATTATTTATTTCATATTTATTTTTAGCATATTTAATTTAATTATTAAACCGAAAATGTTAAGCATACAAGGAAAAACATAAGTCAGAATTTTCTTTGCGATACTTCGATATTTATTTCATATGTATCAATATGTGTATCATCCTCAAAGAGAATCGATATTATCGATATCTCCATATATCGTCCCTGCCCTATATAATAACACATGGGTATTTGGTGTATGGTTCTGAAGAATGTCATTGAATTATTATTAAGACTTTTCATTTAATGTTTAATTCATTCAGCTGAAGTAATTTAAATTCAAAATTGTAAACGAATCAACAATGCAAGTGTCTATATGCCCCTTTGGGTTGTAATTATATTAGTATTGTATCATTAAAATGCAAGTACCTACTGATCAGTTTCATCAGAAGCATATGTAGAGTCCTGTATTATTACTTAGTACTTATATCAATCAAATATTTAGCATCAACGATCTCAGTTTTCAGTCTCTTTCAGAGGTGTGTGTAGTTCTTGCTAGTTAGTTCTCCATGGTATATTTCCTTATTGTTAGCAGTGGTCAAAATAAAATTTTGTCTGAGTTTGTTTCACATCTCGAGTCTAATGGCAAATATTCCATGCATAGTAAATCTTCCTGATCTGATGAAAAACAACCATGATTACCATGCAGTATAAATCAAAGAAAATCTAGTTCTCCCTAGAGATGTACAGATTAATCGTTTAAATCGATGGTCCTTGATTATAGATAATCGATTATAATTTTGATAATCGATTAATAAATTCCCATGAAAAATAATTACCCCATATAATGGCCCCACCCTATTCTAAAGGGTCTCCGATTTCACAAAACATAGGGATTCCTCAATATTAATATGACTAATATGGCCTAATGCAGTTCTGAAGAAGAAATCTTTTTTTCCTGTATCAGGCCTTTCAAAATGTGCCGATACCATCGGTACTTTTGCCCAGCTGAAACTTATCATGATTATGTACCAGCCAAAATATTCGTTAGAGAAAAATTTAATTAAATTCCCTTCCACAAGGTACCTCCTATTTTTGAAAAAAGTACCGCCTGTTTCTAATCTTTTTGAAAGCCCTGCTGTATACATGCATTAAGTAAATTTCATCCAGATAAGATGATTTTAAAATTTTATCTTATATAGTCCAATGTCAAACTTCCCCTTATTGTGCTTCGTGTTTCCACCATGTCCACTGGACCATGATTTGATTCAGAACAGTTTAGAACCAATATTATAATTATTTAACAGAAAGCTTTCATGTAAGTTTCAACTTTTCAGATTAAAAAAAAATCCTATATACATGTACATATATATTCCAATATAAAATTTTAACCCCTATTGTGGCTTCACCCTACCCCAGGGAGCCATGATTTAAACAATTTAGTATCTTCATTGTTTCAGGAGGCTTTCACATTAGTTTCATTTCTTCTTGACAAGTTGAAACAGATGGACAGACAGATGCCAGATAAAGGGTGATCAGAAAAGCTCACTTGAGCTTTCAGTTCAGGTGAGCTAAAAATAACCTGAGCAAAGTCATTTGTGAATTGTGAAGGGGTGGGGCTATAATTCGAGAACACTCTTAAAGGCAGATCTATACTATCATTTACCAACAGCAGATACTATGCCCATACCATTATCATATGTCTGATGAATTCACTTCAATTTATTATAGTTTTTCCAAAGATAAATACTTATCTAAGTGAAACACAAAGTATGTTCAGTCTTCTCAGTTTTTCCCACTTTTAATACATGTATGTGTTCTCCTCTTGTCATATCTTTCTACTTGGGACTCTAGATACATGTACAGAAAAAGATAATTTATTGATAATGTATCCTTCTAGGAAATCTACCTTAACCAGAAGTCTCTGGTGAGACTGTAGCTCTACTGGTGTGTAATTAAGTAATAAAGATGTATCTTAGTATCGACTATTTGTGTACCTAGTCTAATTGAAAATCTAACCAAAACTGTAGGAAGAGTAATGTTTTGAAAGAATTTCACAGAAATTTCTATTTATAGTAACCATAAAAACATCAATTATCAAAATCAAAAAACCAATATAAAGAATTATTTATCTCAGTATAGTCTACTTGTGTACCAAGTCTTACTGAAATAAGACCTAAACTGTAGGAGGAGTAGCATTTTAATTTTGAGTATTTCACAGAAATTTCTATGTTTTAGGGATGTCAATTTGTAACCGGTTAACCAATTACTTGGACGGAATAATGGTAATTGGTTCAAAAATTCTGTAATCAGTTCATTCAAAAAAATTAAAATATAATTATGTAAATTTGAATGCAATTTTCTTAAAATAAAATTTAACTCTGTATAAAGTAAATAAGTAGGTGTTTTCACATATCAACTTAAGCTGATTTGGAGGTAAATATGGCTCATATGAGATCGTGAGGTAAATGGTTATTTTTTGATTCAGAAGTGTTACCGTTTTTAAAAACATCACGTTGCTACTCAGCCTGCCCGGTATTATTTTAATGATATCAATTAAATCACCGACTCACCGTTAATTACTGTGAATTGATTACAGTCTAGCCTATAATCTTGAACTTGATAGAACCAAGAAAAAACTTCAAGATATCTGAGGGTTCAAGATATTGAGGGTAAATTACATAAAGAAAATTAACTTTGACATACCATTAATATTTGATATATCGGAGTTTGAGGTAACAAAGTTCAATTGTATAATAATGTGTATCTTACCCCATCTATCCTTTGCTGTTTTATTTAAAATTATATTTTTAAACAAACATTTTAAATTAACTGTCTTATTGATAGTTCAGACTTAGTTCAGATTATGGCGGCAGTGCAGCATGAACTTGTGTGAGATCTGCTCCGGAAAATTTTCAATGTCTCTGATTTCTCAGGCATGTCAGTTTTATGGTTTCCTAAATTTTTTCCTGCCTATTGAAATAAGATATATGGTTTTCTCATGCAAGCATAATCAAAAACAGAATGTTTCTAACTTCTAAAGTTTTTTTTATTCTTCTTGTGTATATGAATAGAGCTTACATGAAAAAATATGCCAATATATATATTTTGCAGAGTTGTCCCTAAGACCCAGGGGCTGAGGAATTTCCCCGCCTATAATGATGTAATCCCCCTATTATTTTTGTACTCCTTCTAAACTTCCAATTAGGGGAGAAACCCCAGATCCCCTTCTACTTTCCAAATGTCCCTTTCTATTTCAATTCTTAGGGACAACCCTGATTTTGATATGATTAACAGGTTAATTGTCGGAAATGACGTGGTTAACCGATTAGCAATTATGTACATATTTTGTACATTCAATTGCCATCCGTAATATTTTTAGCAACCGCGGCAATATAGTTTATTGAAATCAACAGCCAATAATATACAATTATTGCTGTTTTTTTTAGGTCAATACGATGAGTTAGGCACCTGAGGAGTACATTATTCACCAAGCCTGAAGGGCGAGGTGAATATTGTACTTCAAAGGTGGCTAAATCATCATATTGACCGATAAAACAGCAATAATTGTTTTATTATATGATTCAATGATTAAATGACATGCACTCATTAAGCAATCCGTGCCATCTTACTTGTTCACATCTATTGAAGTACTAGTCGAACATAATGAGAGAAACAGGCATAAAAAAACCAATTGTATTATTTTGGAATTTTTAATTCTAGTTTAGGTGCAATGTAGAAAAAATAAATGTCAGGCACATATATAGGATTGATTTTGAAAAAGGGGGCATTAAAAGAAAAAAAATTATTTGGTGGGATGTAAAGGTCCATAAACTTTTCGACGGGAGGAAGGCTTTCATTGAAATTTTTTATCCTTAAAATTTAACTTAAAACAACATTCTTAAAAGGTGCGGAGAGGGTCAGGCCACCTGCAGCCAACCCCGCCCCCCCTCCACCAAGAACCTTTGTGCCTTAATGTTATGTTCTGATCATATGAGTGGAAGTCAGGTGCAAGCGAAATAACTTTCCAAAACTAATTTCATCAATTTAGAATTTCCCTGTCTATTTTTGGTCCAATGTAGAATAAATAATTCCTTATATTAACCTGGAAGATCATGTGCAGGTCAATATAACGTAGTATTTTTCTAACATTGGATTTCAGCCAATCAGGGAGATGGGAATTGTTCAATCATATAATAAATAGAATTATGTATCTTAGTGCAGTCTACCTGTGTGCCAAGTTATATCAAAATCAGACCAAAACTGAAGGATCAGGAGGAGTTGCGTTTTGAAAGCATTTCACAGAAATTTCTTCTTCTTCTTTTTTTTTTTTTTGTTTCCATTGCAACACCTTTCATTGAAATCAAAAACCGATATACAGAATTGTGTTTCTTAATAATAGTGTCTACTTCTTCCTCCAACACTTGAAATTGTGATAACTCTTAACAGAATCTTTCAGTGTGTCAAGTAATATTATTAAATCATATACTCTTAATTATACATAGTATCACTCAAAACTACAACTCATAAACAAATGCATGCACTGATACCTCCGGATGACACGTGTTCTTGTAATTTACACAATGTTTACAACAGCCCTCCATCAAAATTTTCCCGCCAAATTAATATTAGCTACGAGGATTTTGATTGGGCGACGTTCATATTTACTTCCGTGTTGTCGATTTCATGAATGTAGCATTAAAATGTACTAACATTCTTTTCGATATGATCAAATCACACTATTGATTTATATAATGTATCTTATACTTTATGCACTCAGACATTTGAAATAACTCATGAAACCCTGTCACGTGACATTTGACAACAAGTATAACAATGCATTGTGGGTAGAACAGAGTTAACTTCCTTTCATTTACGCCGGCCTTTATCGCCACATCGACTTCACGAGTCAAGCTGCCGAGAAGATGGGAATGCGAAGACAGAGAAGCACAAAGAACCCTCCGGTGTTCAGCCATGAGTTTTTCATCCAGAATCACGCAGACATTGTGTCATGTGTGGCCATGGTTTTTGTCATAGGACTAATGTTTCAGGTATCATAATTGTGACAGTGCATGTTTAATATTGTACCATATGTTTGTAACTGTGTTTCACCATCGATGCATATTGGAGTTTTTACATAAACTTCATTGTATTTTTTAACCAGAGCATGATTTTTGCAAGATATTTTAATGTAATTATTTAAATGAAAGTGAAAGTAGATAATTATCGGAGAATGACGTGGCAGTGATTTTAAATTTGGATGTTTTAGCTGTCTGCAAAATTTTTAAAAGGAAAAAAAATATAAGCTTAGACAGACATTAAACTTGGTCGTAACCAGATGTGACAATTAAAATAACATGGTCAAAACCAATGCATCAAGTTAATCTTATAGATAGTACAAATGCAATGCAATTTCTTAAGCATATTGTCTTTGGAAATGACATTTGTGGATGTATCATTATCTCCTGGTGTGACAGGGAGATGTTTTTAATTTGCCAGATAGACTCAAAGATAAACAAAAAGCATATGAATTGTAAATCATTTGAATTTAATATTTAACGAATTAATAGAGACAGATATGGAAACTTAGGCACTGATTTATTCTTCTTTTGGTTGTTGAAAGCAGACATTGCCAGAAAGTTAACATAGATTTATTAAATAAAGTTGTTCAAGAGATATATAAGGCATGTTATACATTCTCATAATTAGACCTTTATACCTGATGGAAATAGAACTACAAGAAACTTATCCTTATATCATGTTTTTGATCAAATTTTAACTTTGTCCTTAGGCCAAATAAAAAAATATGTGTGGTTCCGGTTACACCACCAAAAAAATTAGGGTAGGTAGGTAGGGAATTTTTTTTTTTTTTTGTTTTTTTTTTAAATGATTTTTTTTTAATTTTTCTAAATAATACCTATCACTGCTTTGCAAGTGGCATTTAGATGTGGTGTGATAAAATACTAGTCAATATTGGTAGGGGACATCTACATGCTAGCTTGCTTTGGATTTAAAACTGTTAAACACTTGCACGATGTTTTGCAAGGAGGCCGTCATTGCTGAAACTAAAACTTAAACCGAAGCTATTGAAGGAAATTGGGGAAAATTCCGAAAAAAATATGAAAATTGCCAAAAAAAAGCTTAGGGTCGGGGGTATAAAATAGGGACGGTCGGGTAACCGGAACCACACATATTTTTTTATTTGGCCTTAAAAAGATTTACATTTATTGATATTAATTTGCAGGCAACGGCTCCAGTGGCATCTCTCTTTGTGACACTGCAGCACAATGTCACTAAAATTAACAATGGTAGGTTATTACAAGTCCATTTTAATTCTATTGCTTATTGTCCATTGATTAATATGGCTTAAAACAACAGAGCTTAAATTGTGCATCAGGTGTCTATTGCAGCATCGCATGCCAAAAAGAAATTGATCTATATAAAGCAGAAAATAAAATTGTTTTCTTTTAATCTAAACTTCGCACTTGACTTCTATAATTTAAAAATGATGTTTTGATTAGAAGTGTATATATATATATGAGTTTAAAATGAGTGATGGAATTGATTTACATTTGTATTTTTGAACAGACACTGGGGAGGAGGTGACAAGCTACATGGTGGGACTGAAGGATCTATTTTGTGTGTTTTTCTACCTCCTCATCTGTATCGTGGTCCATGCAGTAATCCAGGAGTACATTCTTGATGTAAGTCTCTTAGTCATATTACATCATCATAGCAAATAAATCACCTTTGTAGAAAACAAGAGGCCCACGGGCCTTATAGGTCACCTGAGTATCATGTAACAACTTTCCAGCAATTGAATTTGGTTCGTATTTTTAACCAGAGGCCATGAAATTCACAATTTTGAAAAAGTCACCATTGCTCATCATAACTATACAGTTAGCATGCTTACTTTGAGTACTTAATACCCAGGGGCAGAGCAGAGGAACAAAAAAAATGCATTTCCACTATATAATTAGTACTGCCCCACCCCACAGGAATCCCTGACCCTGGGGCCACAACCATTTCACAACTTTGGAAAAGGCACCCTTGCTCATCATAAATGTTTGATTAATACCAAAGAGCAGCTTTCAAAGCATTAATTCATTTTCAGTATATAATCATTAGACCCCCCCCCCCCCTTCACGGTACCCCTGACCCAGGGGCCATGAAATTCACAATTTTGGACGAAGCACCCTTCCTCATCATAACTATGTACTTAGATCATCGGCATAATACCCAGGAGCGGAGGAGAAGATTGTTAAAGAATTAATGCATTTTCACTATATAATATTAGAGCCCTGCCCTATCACCAGAACCCCTGACCCAGGGGCCATAAAATTCACAATTTTGGAAGAGGCACGCTTCCTCATCATAACTATGTACATAGTTCATCGGCTTAATACCCAGGAGCAAAGGAGAAGATTTTTAAAGAAATAATGCATTTTCACTATAAATTCAACAGAGCCCCGCCCTAACACCAGAACCCCTGACCCTGGGGCCATGAATTTCACAATTTTGGTAGAGGGCTCAATGCTTTTTACAATCATGCCAACAGTTTGACTGCTTAATATCCAGGAGTAAAGAAGAAGATTTTGAAAGATTGCATTAATTTTAGTGGTTTTTGCCCCACCTCTCAGGCCCCAGGGGGGCAGGGGCTATGAATTTCACAATTTTTGTTCTCCTTCACCCATAGATGCTATAGGCCAAAATTGGTTGAAATTGGTTAAGCGGTTTCAGAGAAGATGCTGAAAATGTTCAAATGTTAACGCATGACGGATGACGGACGAAAACAGATAGCAATAGGTCACCTGAGTAAACTCAGGTGACCTAAAAAAAAATGATCAGATCATTTCATTATTTGTAAGATAGGATGGCAAATTTCACTGCAGGATTTAGCTGAATTAATAATTCAGTTGTAACCTTCAGGTATTAAAAAAAAAAAGTTCAGTATGTTTGCTTACAAGGAAAGAAACTTATTTTTAGCATGTACCTTGGAACTTTTCTCTCTGTAAATAATTGTTCGAAGAAGATGATATACATCAGCATATGGAAGGATATAGTCTCATATCAAATTGTTTTTTAATTATGTAGAAACTGAACAGGAAAATGCATTTGTCGAAAGTAAAGCATAGCAAGTTTAACGAGTCTGGGCAGTTACTGGCATTTTATGGAGCCTCTGCTGTTTGGGGTGCTGACATCATCATCAAGGTGAGTATTAGGGATGGGTATCTCCAAAAATTTTGTATTGCGATATAAAGATTCTGTTTAACAATAGCCAAAATTTCTCTTTTTAAATGCCCAATAATTGTCTCACAACTGCCCAATAATTGTCTCCCAACAAGGTGTGCAAAAATTAAGAGATTTGCTGTTAACTCAAGTAGTAAATAAATATCATGATCATAATTTCATGTGTAATTAACCCAATCATTGCTAAATATTGTGACATTGGTTTTACAGGAAGGTTTTGTGAATATTAACCAGCTTTGGGAAAATTACCCTCATAGCGAGCTCTCGTAAGTCTGCTTTTTGCTGTAGTTTTAAAACATTCTACATATATATGATTATTTTAGTATACATAAGACTAATAAAAGAATCGATGATGGCATATTTAGAGCAAAAAAGGAAGATTCAGAATGCAATATGATTATTAACACATGACTGAAAATGGTTGTTTACAATGACTTTTATTGTCTACAGGTTCATTGTGAAATTTTTCTTCATCATGCAAATTTCCTACTGGATCCACTGTTTTCCTGAGCTTTATTTTCAGAAAGTAAAGAAGGTATGACTCAGAAGGGAAGTCAGTTCTTAATTGACCCTATATTTTATTCGGAAAATAAAATTTCTTCAAATGGAATATTTCTTAGAAGTAAAATAATGCAAATTTTGAAAGATGGTTCTAAAAAAAGGTTCTTTCATCTAATATTGGGTGATATCAGCTAGTATACAGTGGGTTATTAGCTCACCAGAGCCAAAGGCTGGAATAAGCTCTTCTGATTTAAGTGTGTTCCACATATCAGTTTATATTGACTAAAATGATAATGTTGTGTTTCATTCATCTGCAAATTTGTTTGAATGAAATATTCAGCTTGCAGGGTTTTTATTAAGGAGACAATTTTTCACCTTTTCAATGATTGGAAGTTGCCGCTTTAAATTTCATAACTGGCAAAATAATTTTTATGACCCCCGGATCGAAAGGTCCCGGGGGTATATTGTTTTTGTCCTGTCTGTCTGTTTGTCTGTTGTCAACTTTAACCTTGCCCATAACTTTTTATTGGTTGAAGCCATGACTTTCATATTTCACATGTGTATTCCTTGTGACAAGACCTTTCTTTGGGTACCATCGTATTTGACCTTTTGACCTTGACCTTGGAGTTTAACCCACTTTTGCAAAAATTTATGAGACTTTAACCTTGGCCATAACTTCTGAACAGTTGGTGCTAGGGGTTTCAAACTTCACATATTCAATCTTTGTGACAAGGCCTTCCTTTGGATACCAACAACTTTGACCTTTTGACCTTGACCTTGGAATTTGACCTACTTTTGAAAAACATTAACCTAAGCCATATCTTTTGAACAGTTGGTGCTTAGGGTTTCAAACTTCACAAAAGTATTCCTTGTGACAAGACCTTCCTTTGGATATCAACCTCTTTGACCCTTTGACCTTGACCTATCAGTTTGACCTACTTTTGAAAAACTTTAACCTTGGCTGTAACTTTTGAATGGTTGGAGCTAGGACTTTCATACTTCACATATGTATTCCTTGTGACAAGACTTTCCTTTGGATACCAACAACTTTGACCTTGACCTTGACAGTTTACAGTTGCAGCTAGGGCTTTCAAGTTTCACAGGTATATTCCTTGAGACAAGACCTTTCTTTGGGTATACCAACATTTTTTATCTTTTGGCCTGGATTTTGACTTGCATTTGAGAAACATTAACCTTCACCATAACAGGGTTGTGGATAACCACTCGCCCACTTGCAAATGCTAGTAAAATTTGCTGTGGGCGATTAGACATTAAAAATATGGTCGCCCACATGGCGAACGATTTTTTACTGGAACATAATCACATTTCAGTTTTATATTTTTATGTACTTTCAGTTTTTAAGAAAACGCTCTACTAACCTAGATTATTTGTGTTGCGTACAAGCATATTATTCAAACATATACATGACTAAGATCAAACATGGCAATCGAAGCGGTTCAATCTCCGTTGATACAAGTCTTGCAGAGCAAATGTTTGAGATTGTTCAAACAGAAATATTGTAACAATCGGCTATGGTTGTCACACACTCCATCTGGACTAGTTATTCACAGTTAGAATTTGAATTACCGTGTCAAATGCATACAATAAAAGATCGGAATCAAACTTCATCACCTGATCACAGGCTGTATGTAATTTATTATTTAATATGCCCCCTTGTTTAACCATAGAAGCTTCAGTTGTATAAGTTAAACACTACAAAATGTATTGAACATATTATCAGATCAAAGTTTTTAGAAAAGAGAAAATGTGACAAAAATTCATATACTGCGAACATATCAATACTATGAATAAAAAAAATCAATTAGAAAAATTTAGGATTTTTGTTGTTGTTATTTTTAATTTACATATAATGTGGGCCCTTAGATCACATTGTGGGCCCATAAAATTTGAAAAGTTTGGAGCCCACATGGCCCCCAAGGTTTCAAAAGTTAATCACAACCCTGCATAAGCTGCAATATGGGGGCATCAGTGTTTCACAAAAACATCTTGTTTGAAAATAATTCTAAAACAGCCTCTTCAAGTGAATGAATAAATTCAACTCTTCACTTCAAAATTATTGAAAACCCTGCAGCGTGGATCCCTTATCTTTACATTGCAATTTGTCAGCATCAATTTTACTGAATGCCAATTTTTTTTTTTTTTTTGGTAAACAGGACGAGATGTCATCTAGAATTCAGTATGCAGTTCTTTACCTTGTATTCATATCAGGAGCTTTCTTTTTAAAGTAAGTATAAAAACTTTATTTTAGAAAATGTATTTGCAGGATTTTGTAAAATTTTCATATACATGTAGCTGTATTTTGATACAATCTCATATATTTTAGAGAAACATACAATTAATCAGTTTGTAGAAGCTTTGCTTCTTGTTTGAATATTGAGTGCTACTTCATGTCATTTTTTTGTTCCCTTTTAGTTTCAACAGGGTAGCCCTCTGTATGATCGTTCTTCACTACGCAGTAGAATTTGTCTTCCATCTTGCTCGTCTTTTGTATTTTGCCGAGAAAACTGACTTAGCCAATCATGGGTATGCATAAAAGTTGATAAAAGCTAACAACTGATAGGAGAATCTAAAAAAATAAAATAAAAAAGCTGTACACAGTGTACAATTCAATCTCATTAAGGTATGAAGCCTTCACTGGTTATGCAGATAGCTGCATTCATTTGCTACTTGCGTATTTACTATATGTTCATTGCCAGAAATATCATTTAATCCTTGAATTATCCATTTACATGTATTTACATTTTTTTATTGCTAAAAATCAAAAATACAGATGTATATGTTATACATATACATGTATGTAAGTAAATTCTTATCCAGGAACTTTCATTAAATATTTGTTTACAGATATGAAGGATAGAGTAGCAATTTAATGTACGTAAAATAGTATCAAATCTAGTCATTTTAAGAAGAAATTACATGTATCTGTCTACCAGACATCATTACTGAATTTTTCTTTGTAGATTTATGGTTTTCAATGCTTTGTTTGTGCTAGTTAGACTGGGAACTATTACCTTGTCTGTCTTAACCTTCTGGTAAGTTCTGCAAAACAAACATTAAAATGAGTCGATGATGGTTGAAAACAATTTTTAACTATCTTTAAAGAAATGTACATGTAGGATTTAATATCAATTATGGCATTTAAATTTTATTTCTTTTTTCATGCAACTTTTGCATATTTCTGCAGGTATGGTTTAGAGCAGACCAACCAACCTAATATTGATGTAGCAACAGGGAATTACAATACTCAGATGATTAGGTAGTATTCAAGATATTTACATCTATCTCTGCTAGTACAGAGTATAAATATTGATTAAGTCTTCCTAATTTACATGGATGTGGCATGGAAGATTATTTTTCTGGTTCTGGTCTGATTTGATTGACATCAAAATCAGGCATTGTCTTCTTTGTTTGACACACAACCTACTTGTATCCATAAAATCAATGTGAAAAGTTGTACAATTGATGATAAATTATTTGAGAAAAGTAAATTATTTGTGAAAAGTCTTTGTTTGCTATCTTTTTCATTTCAAAGGTCAATTCAAGAAAATTTGTAAAATGTATATACATTTGGTGGATCAGAGTGTTTTGAATTGCTTTTATGTTTGTAGGATAAACTGTCTGGCTGCTGTTTGTCTCCTGCAGGCCTGGATGATGTGGAACTTCATTAACTTCCACCTCAGAAGAATGAGGGAACGGGGAGCTGCTTCCAGGAAGCTTAGATCTCCAAAGAAAACTAAATCTAAGGGTAAGTTCACTTGGGAAGTCTGTTGCTTATGAGAATTTTTTCTAAGACAGATTACAAGATGTCAACAGTCCAACTGACCTTAATAAAACTGACCTTTTAAAAGTCTTGACTTTAAATTTTCAGCAAACTAAATTTTACTTTGAAATTACAAAATCATGTCCTCTCTCTCTGTTTATTGAATTGTTATTGTAATGTAGCTTCCGACGAGGATATAAGCTCACTGCCAGAGGCTGACCAGAATACTGCCACCGAGAACGGCATCCGAGCCAGACGGGTCAAGAAAAACTAACAGAACACCATCTAATGGCCAAGTACTGGTGAAGCAAGTCATCACACAACCGAGGTTAAAAAAAAAAGGATCTGAATTTTTCTTGTTTATCTTGAATATCTTTTCATATTTTTTTAAAAAGCAAAGAAAACTGGTGTTGTTATTAAAAGAGAATGTTTTAAGATAATTAACATCAGTTACTAAGTTCAGAAGTTGCTTATAAAATTTTGCAGTTTGTTTGGTTATTGTTTGTAGCAGTGTATATACTTATTCCTCTGCCAAATTGATTGATTTTTAAATGATTATATATTTATAGAAACATGGTTGTTTTGAAGTCACTTGCAATATGAGGAAAATCTTCAACATTTTGTTTTAGAGTGATTAATGTAATTGTTACATTTCTTTTTAGTACATACAAATGATACATTTGTAGGATTTTAATTTTTGTAACACATAATGCAAACTTATGTCATTAGAGAGGTTGAGATTTAATACATGTACGGGTACGTCTAGTATGGGAATTCCCTAAATTCCTCCCGTACTACGTCATCAGTTTTAGTGCCGACAAGTTTTCTACATGTTTCTACAACTTGTAGAATGGTATCTACACATAAGTGTAAACTTGTAGCTTTTGTAATAAAAATTAGTCAATTTTTGTGGGAAAATGTTATTGTACATTATTTAGGATGTTTAGTTTCATGAGCACAATTGTTTTAACCATGTTTTGCTTATTAACTAATGTCATAAAACTACTAAATAGTTGAAACAGAAACCACCAATCACAGTGTAGGCATTCACGTTACACTCCATTAAAATCTCAACAGACAAATTACAAAAATGTGTATGTCAAAGATTATGCACACGTACAAGTTTAAGATCTCAACCTCTCTATTATCAGAGATTAATCCTTGTTCAGAAAAACAAACACTGTGGAATAAGACGTAAACAAAAAACCTCTGACATTGAACTGTGTGTGTTTTTTTGTTCTTTTTTCTTTTTTACATGTACCTCAGCAAAAAATCACCAAATATTAAAAAAAAAAAAAAAAAAAAATAGAGAGAGAGAGAGAGGGGGGGGGGGGGGGGGGAGGGGGGAAGAGAAAAAAATGGTCAGTACAATTTATGAATGAACATTAGTGGACAAGTGTCAATATATTTCCCTCCGAGAGGGACAATTTAAACTGTTTGATGTTTGAAGTATTAAATGTAATACCTGTTTAATATTAAGATAGTTTCAATGATTTTTTTTTCCAATGTTTTCTTAGATGACTTTTTTTTCAAATACATGTACTGAGCATTTTTGGTTAACTCGGACGTTAAGAATAGTCAAGTCCAGTGTCTCAAAGACAGTTAAACCGAAAGACAATTATAGCAAAAGCAATGTACAACTTGAGAAGGTGAAGTAACTTTCATGCTCAAAAGCTGAATTTTTTTTTAACCTTTCGTAATTGTTTATATTTTATCTGCATTTCACCCTTTTGATAAATAACCCACTCAAGTTAAAAAAAAATGCACAAAACAATGCATTCTTGTAATCTTTTGTAATGGATTGCTTTATCTACATTTTATTCTGTGACAGTTAAACAGTAAATTCAAGTATTATGTGGTGATAAGAAAATTTTTCAATGTAATTTTTTAACACAAGACACCAGTATATATACAGTGCTTCAGTACCATTTTAATGTTGATAGAATGTTTTGTATACATGTAATCCTCAATGTTGTGAAGTAGACAAGGTGTAACTGAGGAGGAGGGGTTTAAATGTGGGTAAGTGGTGAAAGTGAAAGTAACAGTTGTTGGTTACCTAGTCATATCATGTTCTCAGAGTATACATCCTGTGTGTTTGACACCACTGTTTGTGTGTGTAATATACTGCCATGTTATTTTTGCTAAAATAATGAGAAATGAAACAGTTTTAATTAATTTGTTGATTTAGTGACATTTTTTTATGAGAGTAAATATTTGCTTTAAATTAGAGACTTTTTATTTCGGTAAGAAAACTTTGTGGATTGTGAACCAAATAATAATACTTTTTATATGTCATTTTTCTAGGCATTGCAGTTTCCTTGTAATAGTATATAATAAATAAGTAGAAAAGTGATGGTTAGTATGTCATTTAAGAATGTATCTTTAGAAATTAAAATAAGGCAATATGAATAAATTTTCCAAAATCAAGCATGTGAATTTTAAAGGTTTTTCTTTGAGCTCCCAGTTTAGGAACTTATTGTTTAAGGACCTTTGGGATCTTTTTGTCTTTCAGTATTAAAGTCAACAACTGTGTTCTCATTGATACTCTTTGAAAGTCTACCAGTAAAGTTACAATGAATCCTGTTGAAGCTTTGGAAATGCTTGTTTATTTAGTGAGGAGTAACATAATTGATGTTTCCGATTGCTTCTTGTTGATATATTTGGTATGGACAGAGCTAGCTGTAAAAAAAAATTCCCAATAATTATAAAACAAAGATTGACATTTGTGTTCAAAATCTATTGGACAAAATCGATGGTTTATCAAATAGGAATATTTATGAACATGTAAAAGACCCTTTGTAAGCCTATATCTTTTATGCACAATAAGCAAATTAAACAATTTGTGGTCCCCTGTTTTCGGTGTATTATTGGATGGGATGCCATTATTTATGGCATATTGTTACTGTCTCGTTTGTGTGTCAAACTTCACCAAACATCAAGGTCATGAGGTCAAATATAATACAATCCAAAAGGTCACAAGTAATGCACATGTGAAAAAAAAATATGAAAGCCCTGTCTCTTCTGGAGCATAAAGATTATGGTCAAGGTTAAAAATTTTTATAAGTCAAGCTTCAAGGTCATAAAGTCAAAAATTATATATTTTCTGAAAGGTATTGTCATAGGTAATGTGCATGTAGAAATATGAAAGCCCTATCTTCTCCCATTCAAAAGTTATTATAAATGTACAATAAAAAGGTCAAGGTCACGAGGTCAAAAAACCAGAGTACACAATCGCAAAAGTCTTGAAACAGGTAATGCACGTGTCAAATGTAAATGCCAATATTCTCTCAATCCAGAGTTATCAACTATATTAATTTTTTTTAAATTAAGTAAACTTCAAGGTCAAGGTTATGGGGTTAAAAATCATAGTACATTTGGAAATACACGTACTTGTCACAGGTAACGCACGTGTCAAATATAAATGCCCAATCTTCGCTCCTTCACAAGTTAGCGACACTGATAAAATGTTTGAAAATTATGTCAAACTCTAAGGTCAAGTCAAATATCATAGCACATTCAGAAACATTTTGACACAATGCAAAGATAACGTTTGGAAATTAGGTCAAACTTTAAGGTCAAGGTCACTGGGTCAAATATAGCATATTCAGAAACATTTTGACACAGGTAATGCACTTGTCAAATATGAACGTCCTATCATATCTCATTCAAAAGTAATCACCACAGTTAACATTTTTGAAAATTAGGTCAAACATTAAGGTCAAGGGGTAGAAAATCTCCGCATGTTCAGAAACGTCTTCTCACATAATGCGCATGTCAAATTTGAAAGCCCTATCTTTTCTCAATCAAAAGATATAATTAAGCAAAGATAAAATTTTTGAAAAGTAGGTCAAACTTCAAGATCACTGGATCAAAAATCATTGTATATTTGGAAAGGTCTTTTCACAGGTAATGAGCATATTTAATATGAAACCTTTTTTTTCTTATTCAAAAGTTACGACCAATTTAAAGTAATATTAAAATATTGAAAAGTATGTCAAACTTCAAGGTCACGGGGTAAGAAATCATAGTATATTTGGAAAGGTCTTGTCACAGGTAATGTACATGTGAAATATGAAAGCCCTTTCTATTCTCATTAAAACGTTATGACCAAGGTTAAAGTTTTTGTGACAGACGGACAGACTGGAAGATGAATAAGATTTAATGTCCCATCGCTTTCACGAAAGCGGGGACAAAAAGCAAAATAGTCAAATCAGACTTCTCTCTCATAATCTTGAAATTGAGACAGGATGATATGGTAACAATTGGGGAATAGAAAATGTAGAATGTGTAAAGGTGAAGTAGCGGATGAATATCACTTTGTTTTAATTTGCCTTATTTTAAGAAGTTTCGTAAAGAAATATATGTCCATGAGCAAAAGAAAGAGGAACCCACGACCCTGGGGTCACGAAATTCATAATTTTGGAAGAGGCACACTTGCTCATTATAACCATGAAATTAGTTTGTTTCCTTAATAGTGTATAACAAGAGAAGAGAAGATTTTCAAGGAAATATTGCATTTTTACTATATGTAATTATCAATAGACAGCCCCCAATCCAGGGACCATGAAATTTACAATTTTGGAAGAGGCACCTTTGCTCATCACAACCATTAGATTTTTCCTTTATACCCAGGACCAGAGAAGATGATTTTCAAAAGAATTATGCATTTTCACTATATATTCAAAAGTGCTGCTGATCCTGCATGTGGACACAATTTTGGAAGAGATACCCTTGCTCATTATAATCATGCACTTAGCTTATCTGCTAAATACCCAGGAGCAGAGAAGATTTTCAAAGAAATATTGCATTTTCACTATATATTCAATATCGCCCCGCCTTAGCACCAGAATCCCCGACCCAGGAGCAATGAAGAGGCACCCTTGTTCATCATCACTTTGTACTCAGATTGTTAATTAACTTAATTGATGACCAGAATCAGAGAAATCATGCACTTTCGCTATATAATTAACAGAGCCCCGCCCTAACACTACAACCCCTGACCCTGGGGTCATGAAGTTCACAATTTTGGAGCGAAGATGCACCTTTGCTCATCATAACTATGTACATGTACTTAGTTTGTTAACTTGATGCTCAGGAGCAGACCAAGAAGATTTTCAAAGAAATAATATTTTCGCTATATAATCAATAGAGCCCCCCCCCCCAACTTCAGAACCCCTGATCCGGGGGCCATGAATTTTTTTTTTTTTAATTTTGGTAGTGGGTGTAAAGCTTATTACAAATATAGCAACAGTTTGATTGCTTGATGTCTAGGAGTAAAGAAGAAGAGTTTAAAATATTGATTTAATTTTGATGGTTTTAGACCCATCCCTCAGGCCCTCCGGGGGACTGTGAAATTCACAATTTTTGTTTTCCCCCACCCCTACATATTTTATGCGGTTCTAGCGAAGAAGCTGAAAATAACTAGAGGTCACCTAAGTGACTCAGCTGACCTAAAATATAATTCAAGAGACATACTGCGTACATGGCTGAAATTATTTTATTTACAGAGAATATAACTCATACATGCATATGAAGAGGATTTTGTTGAATTTAGAAATATATTATCTTTGCAATTCAAGTAACTTTAGGAAGGCTACAATTTTATCAAAGTGTCACAGGTACTTGAGAACAGGACCCCTCCCCCTTCCTCCCGATATAGACTCCCAGGCCTTTTTTTCTCATAAAATTGTTAAGAGGGTTGAATGAATGCTCATGGCTATTTTTACACTATTGTTAACTATATATTATAGATGTAACTATAGTCATGGTCTTTTTATTTGTTCTTAAAAAAGACAAATTTTATAGACCCCCCCCCTTTAATTATATGCCCTATTGTGGCTCCATCCTAAACCCAGCAGCCATGATTTGAACAAACTTGAATTCACATTCATTAATGAAGCTTCATCATAAGTTCAGTCTTTTCTGGCTCAGTGGTTCTTGAAAGGATTAAGAGATTGCACCAAATTTTCACAAATTTTGAATTTTGAATTATCTCTCTGTGAAAGAGGGTCTGATCCTTTATTTACAGAAATCTGAATCCTTTACCTGTTTACACCCACGCAGGGATGCCTTCTGACAAATTTAGTTGAAATTGGTTCAGTGGTTCTGAAGAAGCTGAAAACGACAACGACAGATCTATGTACCGAATTTATAATTCCATGTGTATTCAATATTTTCCATACGCTTGATTATTGCTTTTGTAGGACCGAATGCCACCTAAAACTACTAATAATTAACCCCCAAATTACTGATAATTAGTCTTCAATGTTGAAGAAACTACATGTATTAATAATTAACACGAATGAGATTTACCTTCACATTTTTCATGCATTCCGCGTTCCTATTCCAGATCCAGATCATCCCATACATGGCTGCAATTGGAACTTCTTCTCGACTTCTTGTCATATTATAAATTTTGATTTCACACCTCCGATTCTTCACCCCCCCCCCCCCCCCAATGACCGGCGCAAGCCGGCCCCATGTTTTATTTGTCATAGAGAGTTTACCTGTAAGCACGTATATTTGCAAATCAAATCTTTTAATCAGGTACGTAAATCACTAGTATGGTTTCATGGTCGTAGGAACCGGAAGGGAGTGCCCCCCCCCCTAAATTTACCGATATATATATAATAATTTAGTATGCTATAGAAAACATAGCTACTTTATCTTCGTGAACCGTGCCCCCTCAATGATAAAGTCTAAACTTTTTTTTGTCAAGGAATTTTTACTTCGTATACCCCCCCCCCTTTAAAAAAACAAACTAAAAAATGTTTAGTTGCCCCCCCCCCCCCCTACTGAAATTGCTTCCTGCGGTCCTGGGTTTATCCAGATTTGTATTAACAATTAAAAGCCTAAAAGCCAAATAGAAATTGTTGAAAAGGTTCCCATGAACCATACCTACTTCATAATCTGTTGATGTGAATATAAAATAACTGTGGAGTGATAAGCCCCTCCCCCCTTTAATTGTTTTTTAAAATATTACCTCTAAATTAAAATTAAAAACTAAACACGTAGAGTTTATGTATAGCTATGATACTTTTTTTTTTTTTTTTAAAAATATGATATTTTTTGTCCAAAAGTGTCACAACTTTTTAAGTGTTTTTAAAATAGATTAAAAATTTATTTATTTTACATTTGACAAACCGAAAGACAAGCCCTATAGAAGAATGTTTAACACTTGGCTTCAAGGACAAAAAATACCTTTGCAGTTCATAAAATGCTTTCAAAGCCTTTTTATACAGGTCTTCCCGGGCATATGAGAAAGTTCCAGAGGCACTAAAGAGTACCCCCAAATTTGTGAACATTATATGTGTATTAAAAATATATATATATATTAATTTATTTATATTTGCTCGATGCAATTTGAAAAAAAAAATGCATATTTAAGATGTCTAAAATTATGTCTCTGATGTAGTTGCCACATTTTCAGTAAAACTTATGAAATATATTGAACAATATTTATAACATACAAGTTACATGTACAAGACTAAAAGCGGACCTAAAAGAGGCATTAAGGCGGACCCTTATACAAGGCGGAGCAAATATTATTTGACACCGGATGAAGTTAGATTGCAGTTGCATGCACAGCATATTAACGACCAGGAAAATATTTCCTGATATGGTGAAGCATTAATTATATGAAAATACAATACACGAAATAAAGATCAATTAACGTGCCAAGAGGCAGATTAGAAATATTTAATAAGTCATTTGTACCTGATGCTGTTAAAAAAATGGAACTTATTGGATACAGATACAAGAGGAGCCATCTCAGTTAATTCTTTTCGTAAAATTTTAAGCGATAATGCCTCAAAAGCACCTTCTTATTTTTTATTTGGTAAACGCAACTGTGTACTGAACCAAGATTTATATAAACGCAATATCATTGACAATCCTTATTGCTCATGTGGTTAACAAGAAGATGCCTATCATTTTTTCTTTGTTTGTAGAAAATATCATAAAGCTAGAAATAATCTTTTTGACTATCTTTTTAGACTTGATTTAGATATCATAGATGTACACCTACTTCTCTGGGGCAATGAAAATTTATCATTAGAGTTAAACAATGGTATTTTTGCTGCTGTTCACAAGTTCATAAATGAATCCTGTAGGTTTATATAGCTATATTAATATATGCAGGGACCTATATACTAACTAGTATATAGGTCCCTGATAAATGTGATTATTTTATTTAAGTTTTTGATGTTTTTTGCATGACAATTATTACATGTTATATTAAGGAGATGAACTAATAAGTTGATAGAACTTGTTTCTGATCCTTTTCATTATTTATAAATTACAGTATGTTCAAAACAAAACAAAAGCATTAACTGAACTCTGCATGAACCAATCCGTATATTAAAATCCTAACCGTTCCAGGTTTAACTTTTATAGGATGTTTTTGACTGGTTCCCGGGAGCATCCAACGGGTGCACGATGTTTCGGGACCACGACGTTTCGGGACCAGACTAATACGACGTTTCGGGACTAGCAACAAGACGGTTCGGGACTTGGGTAAAGACGATTCGGGACTTGAGTTAATTTTTTTCGGGATCTAAACAAATTATTTTATTATGGTGATATAGCATATTATTCTAATTACACATAGTACGTAATATTTCAAGCTAAATCCGAATTTTAATTTTTATGTAAATATGTGATAAAAATTGTCATAAAGATATACTTTGATGGGTTTTTTTTTATAACAGACGAAGAAGAATAAATCTTTACAATATTCATTTTTATTTCTTTTTTTTTTTTTTATCATTTTTTATTAGTTATTTTTTCTTGTGTGTGTGGTGATGGGGGGGGGGGGGGAGGGGGTCCAAAATTTAATCTTCTCAGGTTGATGATAGATATTTTAAAATATTCAAGTGATCTCCAGCTACCGTCGAATATATCTTTAAAAAACATGTCAGTAAATTGTTAAAACAACAACTGGGATCAGGTACACATATCCCAACTGATACTCTATACATAGGGAGGTGTTACGTACATGTATAAAGACGCCGCCGGTAATGGGAACTAAAAAGATTGTGTGGTTTCTTTTGAAATTATTTTAAGAAAATAAAAATCTAAAAATATGGAAAAAATATCGTTTGTTTATTGGTAAATGAAATAATTCAGAATCAAACAATAGTTTAACAAAATATAAAGGTTTTCAAAATGATTTGATCTTGATTTTGTCTACCTTTTCCCAAACGGTTTCAAATATTTTTTTTCCAAAAAGTTTTGGCTATAGTATCTGTAAGATTCTTCCCTGGAAATGTTACGAAAACATTTTTAAAGTTTCCAAAACATTGTAAATAAACATATTTTACAAATGTTGCGAGAACATTGGCCCTAAATTTAAAAAAAATACCATACTTTAAAAAAAGCATTAAATGGTATAAACAACATGATTTCATTTGATATCGTTTCAAATAATGTCTTTAAAAACATTTTAAATTTCATCATAGCTTTATCTATTTAATGGCAAGGTGGAAATTTGAAATTTAAGTTGACCTGTTAACGTAGTCAATGTGGAATGTCTTTTAAACACTTTTACAACGTACATGTAGCATGAAAAATTTAATATTTGCAAATTAAATAATATTTAGTATTTATTTACAGTATTATTTAAAGTTTGTCATGTACCTAACTATGTAACACCACATATAATATTACGCACTGGTCGGGTATATAAGAAGATCGATAATTGAGTTTCATTGAGATTTGTAGTCTGTGTATACACAGTAAACATAAATTCAGACATCCATATCATTGTAGACAAATTAACAGTTTTGATAGTACAATAATATATAGCGAGAATATTTGGGACTTTCGTGGGAATAATTTTTTTCTAATTAAAATAAATGAATAAAATCGATTACTTTCATCATTTTTCTTAAGCCATCGAGTACATGTACTTTGCATAGACGAAGAAATTGTCTAACTTTGAAACGTTAAGATGAAAAATAAGTTAAACGTGTTTATATTTTGAAAATTAGTAAGTTTGGTTAATTTCCAAATGTTGCATACATGGTATATATATACACATCATACTTTCAGTAAAATTTACTTTACAAGCTGTTGACGTTATATATATTTGAAATGTCAAATACATGCTGATTTTCTTACCCATTTCGTTTTTTTTCCTTCTCTGCTTAACGTATACATGGATGTGTAGGAAGTTTATAGCTTAAGTTATAACATTTCTCTTACCCGTAACATTTTGTATAAATTTGCTTTTATGATTTTGTTGCATATATACATGTAACCTGAAATAATAATTATAAATTTTATACATTGATGTTTAAAAAGTTGAAGATGGAATATTTCAGATTCTGATTCAAAACAACTACCCAAAAACGTAAAGTTTTTACTGCACATGTGCTAGCTTGGGCCTTTGTAAATTTTGTAAACAAATATGAAATCAAATACCTAAAATTATTATTAAAAAGGAGAGAAAGAAAAACACGTCCGTGGTCTTCACACAGCAGTTACGATTGTCTCCCGGCTTTAATTCTACAAACTCTCTTATCAAACACTATAAATAAATCAAATACATATTTTAAAAAAAAAAAAAGAATTAAATTTTGGTCAAATGTTAACCAAATACTTTATAAAGGTAATATGTCAAATACTGTAATAAGAAATTAAAGAGACAAAACCGCGGGCGTTTGATTTTCTCGGCAGGCGTGCTCCATGCCGCAGGCAAACTTTAAAACTAATAAAAACTCCAATCAGTGCTTCTTAAATTATAAATTGTGTATCAAACTGAGAAATTATACATGTATAAGCATAAAAACACAAGTAAACAAGTTTTATTTCATTTCCTTTACAAAATATTTAGAAGTCCCGAAACGTGTTAGCCCAAGTCCCGAAACGTGTTAACCCAAGTCCCGAAACGTGTTGTCAGGTCCCGAAACGTCGGGGTCCCGAAACATCGCGGTCCCGAAACATCCATAATTCCATCCAACCAGCTTATTCCTGAGAAAACTCGAGAAAGGAGAAAGTATAAAACATGGCTTTACGTCTTTATGGACTTCAATCATTATCACGCAATTTTTGCTTAATCGGGTAAGTTAATAATAAGTAATGAATTATAACTTTATGACATGGGATAATTTACAGGGTATTGTTTTTTTGCCATCAAACACATTGCAATCTTAATAGAAAACCGAATAGTATATAGTTCAAGGTGAACTTTTTACAAGTTGTAAATAATAATAACGCAAAGTGATGCAATGACAACTGCGTATGTAAAAATGTATTTTAAAACCCTTCCAGTCTTAACTTAAAATAGATTGAGCAGACTGGAAAGTGTTGAGGGAAGAAGCACTGGTGGTTTACAGTTCGAATTTCCTCAGATTGTTCATGCTTTACTTGAATGTTATGTTTCCGAGAAACCAGGGCTCTCACACCACTTTTTGGGACGGGGGCACAGGCGTTTGTTTCATACAGTATGCTAGTTTTCTACTTTACAATAATGTGTTATTGTATAGTAGAAAACTAGTGTACTGTATGAAACAAACGCGTGTGGACTGGGGCTGTAAAAATTGGAACGATTAGCGAACTTTGGGGGAATTTAGGGAACATCATTATACATTAAACCACAGGCATCTGAAGTGTGGATAACATACAGCTCTTGACCCCCCTTCTTTCTTGATGTATGAAACATGACTTGAATGTTATGTTTCTGAGAAACCAGGGCTCTCAAACCATTTTTTGGGACTTGGCTGTAAAAATTGGAATGATAAGCAACCTTTTTTGGAATTTTGGGAACATCATTACACATTAAACCACAGGCACCGGAAGTGTGGATAACACACAGCTCTTAAATCCCCCCTCCCCTGGTAACGGGATGTTTCGTGCTGGTGCATGGTTCGCGTCCATTCTTTTTCACCCTGAGATAGTTCGCACCACAATGTTTCGTTCTGAATACATAAATATGCTATTTATGGAGAGTTTATTATAATATACATAGGCGTCGGAACTGGGGGGGGGGGCTAACTTTTTTTGGGCTTGTTGGACAATTTTCCTTTTTTTTTTTGCTTTAATTGTCAATTTTTTTTTCAGGTTTGAATTTTTTTTCTCTTCAATTAGCCCCCCCCCCCCCCCCAACTTTCAATTTGCTTCCAACACCTATGATATATTGTCATGGATTATCCGCGAGTTTATGTAAGGTTAACTTTGTTGTGACGTCATAATACTTTACGTTACTATTATAGATAATAACAAGTCTCAAATAAACCACTATATGATCAAGACGTCTTTTATTTCATTCCACAACATATATATTTATATCTGTATATGTGTAAATAAAGAATTTTTTTAACATCACATTTTTTTTACCTTAAAGGATTATTTGAAGTATATAACATAATAATCAATTATAAATAAATTAATTGTATTGTATGTATAATTAAAATTTCATCATCTAATTAAGTGATTATCAAAAATTTGAGAAAACACTTCGCTTAATTCTCCCAATTCAAAAGAAGGGGGTTTTAGTAAAGACAAAAAAAAACTTATTCATCTTTAAAAAAAAATAAATAATTCAATATGGAACTCCTGATGAGAATCCCACGAACCCATATTATACTCCAAGTTATGAAGCTGGTGATATAACACAATGAGATATATTGATAGATTTATTATAACAGAAGTAATTGTGATTTAAATGAAAACAAATATCAGACAAGCATGTTTTTAGAAAATTAGAAGTACTGGAAGCATCCAGTTATATTGAATTAAGATTTAAAAAAAAAGAATCATTTTTAATTTGAATATAATCAACATTTTACAGTGGATTATAGAGGCTTAAAAAACAATGTACAAAATTATTAATACTAAAATAATAGCAACAATTTTTACTCCCCCCCCCCCCCCTTCTAGAATACAATGAACCAAATTTTCTGGTAAATATGTCATTTCTCCATCAGTTCCAGCTATATGTTATTCCGTGCAAATCAGTTTGTACTATTATTAAGGTTTAAAATTTGGCCATAAATGGTATATAAATAAAAATACACCAGAAACAAAAATCGTTAAAAAAACCAGGTGTTCCCCACCTTGAGGCTGATTTCCAAGGTACTACAGTGTTAACCTATCATATCTTTACAAGCACTCTGTCAGGGAGATGTTCTCCTACAAGTTTCTTTAACTTAAACCCCATCCTTAGTAGGGATGGGTATTGCCAAAAATTTTGTATCACAATTTTTTCCAAAAATATCACGATAATTATCATGATATTTTTACACATAATTTTTAATACAATTTTCAATGAATTTCCATAAGTTTCTTAAGTTTACTTTTTTCATTTTTATTAATATATACTGGTATATATTAGTAGAGCATGTTTGGATGCTAGGATGCCGTTGTTTTACTGTTTTACAACATTTTTTACAATTCCTGTAATTGTAATTCATGAGTTGAAACAAAATAAAAAAAAATTATTTTTGGAATTTGTAATTACATACTTAATACCGGTATTTTAGTCTCTGTATCACGATACATATCCTGCAATAAAAAAAATTGCACATCTCTAATCCTTAGTGTTTTATATGCTGTAATCCGATGATTTATTAAATGGACACAGAAAATTCTCTCCATTATAATACATGTATTGCAATGTAAAGGAATATGATTAGCAAGTTAAGTTAATATATATATCCAGCCAAATATTTTTTTTTAATTTTAGAGATAAATGACTATTGGGAAAATTTACACAGTCAATGAATTGTGAATGGGGCCTTTAAATGGCCCCAATTATAGATGATCAAGAGCCCTAATTCTCAGATTTTATTTTTCAGTTGTCGAATGATGGGTAACGATCTCGGTGGAGGAGCTGGCAAAGGGGGAGGAACTGGAGGCACAATCAGGTCTAGATATAAATCTGTCATCATTGGTATTAATATAAAGATCTATTGTTTGAAACAAAAGGCCATATTTAAGATGAATTAAACAAAGTATTAATAGCTCCACACCCATTCAAAATAAATTGAATATATATGCCTTTATGGTACTTTCGTCTTCACTGAGTGAGCTGATTTAATCTCTATTTAAAGTTCCTGTAAGGGCTGATTGTACATGATTGAAATTTTGAGGAATTTTGATATTAATTTCAAACTGCATCTTGGACTTCTTGTCATATATAATTTATTATTATCATGATTACATGTTATACAGTGTACTGCAGTAGTTCATAGTTAAATATATATATATATATGTGTTTGTATACATATATCACTGGAACCACACTGTCAGTCTGTGGTTTTGGAAGTTGTTTTTTTTTTTTGGTTTGACTATAAACCCGTTCAAATAAAATTTTAAAAACTTAAAAAAAAAAATCCATCTAATTTGAATGTACAGTATTTTACCCTCGATATCTCGAATCCTCGGATATCTTGAAGTTTTTTCTCGGTCCCTTCAAGTTTGAGATAACGAGGTTTGACTGTAGTTCTTTAAGCATTTCTCTCTTTCTGCAACAAGGAATGAACAGTTTTTATTTTTTGTAATAACTAATAAGGATACAGGACCATGAAACTGTCTTCAATCTTAGCTTAATGACTTAAGGTGGAATGGTTGACTTGGCTAAAATTGCAATTTCAAGCAGATCAACAGAAGGAGACTGAGTCAGATCGGATTAAAAAAAAAATTATGCTACTTGTGTGGTCTTAAGCTTGCTTACATTATTTGTGGAACTTCAACATTGAAGTTCCATAATTGTCTGCTGTCTGCTGCATCCTCTTCTGTCTTTTCTTCTTCTATTAAACATTCCTCTACTCCTAGAGATAATACTGCATCCTCTTCTGCCTCTTCTACTAAACATTCCCTCTACTTTCAAGATGATACTGCACCATCCTATTCCTCTTCTTCTTCTTCTATTAAACATTCCCTCTACTCCTAGAGCAGATACTGCATCCTCTTCTGCCTCTCCTTCTACTAAACATTCCCTTTACTCCTAGAGATAATACTGCATCCTCTTTTGCCTCTTCTATTAAACATTCCCTCTACTTCTAGAGCAGATACTGCATCCTCTTCTGCCTCTTCTTCTTCTATTAAACATTCTCTCTACTTCTAGAGATGATACTGCATCCTCTCCTGCCTCTTCCTCTTCTGTTAAACATTCCCTCTACTCCTAGAGATGATACTGCATCCTCTTCTGCCTCTTCTATTAAACATTCCCTCTACTCCTAGAGATGATACTGCATCCTCTTCTGCCTTTTCTTCTTCTATTAAACATTCCCTCTACTACTAGAGATGATACTGCATCCTCTTCTGCCTCTTCTTCTTCTATTAAACATTCTCTCTACTTCTAGAGATGATACTGCATCCTCTCCTGCCTCTTCCTCTTCTGTTAAACATTCCCTCTACTCCTAGAGATGATACTGCATCCTCTTCTGCCTCGTCCTCTTCTATTGAACAATCCCTCTACTCCTAGAGATGATACTGCATCCTTTTCTGAAGGTCATATTACATATATCTGAGAAGAAATGAGGAGAAATTTTGTATCAATTTACAGTCAAACAAATAAACTTTCAAAATATGATGTTGTTTTAAATTCTTGTATGATACAAACAACATTATTTGTCACACTTTTAAAATAAATATTAGTTTTATCTGAATAAATAAATTACATGTACATGTATATTAAAAATTTCAGATGTGTTTTTTTTGTACAATGTACATCGCTTTAACACTCTCATACAATTCTTTACTATTGAATTGCACAAATGAAAAACAAATGGTTTGAAATTAGAGAAGGATACAGTCTTCCATACAGGGCAAGATGGAATAATATCAGCCCTGAGGGCAATACAGCCCCAGATGGATGCAGCTGTCTAAGCAAGTCCAGAACACTTGTATCAGGGATGATATAGAACTACATGTAGGTATATGAAATGGAAGAGTATACATGTACATGTATATGGTATTTATGGCTTCTTTTTTTTTCAATATACATGTAGAGGATGTTGTCATTAAAATGTGAAGGTTGCAAATGGAAAATGAATTTGGTTTATAATGTTCATTTTTGACTTGAGTGTCAAGTTGGTTGAAGATTTTCTTACGTGTTATTGCATGGAAGTTTCTCTTTGCGTTGATGGCATCTTAACCAGTAAGATATTTTAAAATCTCAACAGTGCAGCTGCCACTAGACGAATTCATCTACCAGCAATGAGGTTTTAAGATATGCACGTAATCTCTTACAACCAGATGAAATGCTCAGTTTGTCATATTAGATTGCAGGCAGATGAGAACTTGAATAAGGTCCAAAAGAGAGAGGGATTTTCTTGTTGGATTGCAAATATGGCTGTAAATCATATCAACTAAAAATAGTATTGTTGAGCATCAAAGAGGTATCGCTTGAACAACTTGTCATTCTTCCTCACTTCTAGTGGATTGAATCTCTCCGCAAACACACATGGACACAGAAGACACCTTCCTTGAGGATTTTGTTGGAAATATTGAATGCATGAAATAAAGATTGGTCATTTTTAATGTACTTAACAACAAATTTACTCTGTTCAAAAGCAGACTTGAGATGTTAAAAACAAAATTTTACTTTGAAGACTAAAACTATTTTTTGTGACCTAACTTAAGACCAGTCACTTAAGTCTAACTTGAGACAGTTTTATGATCCCAGAACCAGACTCTCTAACAGTATTTAAGATTTGAAACTTGGATCCAGGAAAAATTTATCACCATATCCTTGATACAAGGGTCCCCCTTCAAAACCCTTGTTTCTGGAAGTTTAAGGAAACAACAAAATGGACTACTCTTGTTTTTTGCAGAGAGGCAGGAGGAACATTTGGGAAAATTGAGGCTGCCAGGGAGGAGGAATATATCAGAAGACTGGTGAGGCACATTTGATTCTTTAAGTTTAATAGATATTGATGTTATTCAAAAACTAAAAAAAAAAATGTTATTTTGTGCAGAAGATGAACCAATGCAGACCTTTCAATTTTGGTAATAGATTAAAAGCTATATTAAAAAAATCATTTTATTTATAGAAAGGAGATTTTCTAGTATTCTATTCTTGATAAATAATTGTTTCTTTTCTTTGAAATCATGTTCTATCATATGTTTGGTTGTAAATTAGCAAAAGCAACAGCTCAAAGAATTGAGGCGACATTTAAGTGTGGAGATCAATATCCTCGAAAAGGAAGTCCGCAATCATCAGGTCAGGGGTTATCATGCCATGTAACCATGGTGACAAGTTTATCATAAATCCTAGTGCACTGTTGTCATGTGCCTATCTGCATGAAGCATCTTATCTTATTTTTCTCAACAATTTTTAAGCATTTGTTTTTCAAATTAATTTTTTTAATGGCTGCCATGAAAGGTTGAAACAGGGCTCACTCTGGATAGGCACAAACAACATAGTAGTATCTAATGTGGTAAAGCGTGACCCACCAATTTTAGCTTTGTGGGTTTCCATATATAATTTCCTAACTTGCTGCTTCTTAAAGTACTATGAGATCGCAGATAGTTATAACATCAAAAAACCATTACCCAAGCCTCAGTCAGGGACTATGTAAAATAGAAAATAATGCCAACATATAGCTGTTTACTTAGACTGCCTGGATTGCAGGTGCCTTATTCAATGAACAATCTCCAGTTTGCAGTTTCTTGAAATCTTGGTTACTAAGCAAGATTCTGCACTCTCAGAAAGAGCAATTCCTTTGTGCAGTATGAAAAGTTTTCTTGCAGTAAGTTTTTTCAAGAAAGGTATCTGACAGCCAATGGGTCCTATGCTAGTCCCAATTTCTGCAAAAGCGCTTTTAGTCCAACATTTCTAGCAGTTTTTATGGCTTTCCTTTCCTTTCTTCCCACTAGAATGCCCAGCAACTGAAGGCTTTGAAAGAACACCTTGATGAGGAGGTGCATCATCATGAAAGAATTATTAAGGAACACCAGGTTAGTTCACACCATTGGCTTAATATAAGGGGGATAGGGCAATGGTGTTCTTAAGGGATTTTCAAAAGAACTGAGGAAAAAGGGGATGATAATGTCCAAACAGGCAATTGAAATGGAAAAGAGGGGGACCCATGAAAACAAATATACTGAAATCGGGTCATAGGGACATGCAAAAATTCCATTCAATACGTTCTTCATGAATAGTTGAATTAAATTGAACCATGAGCATCTTGTGAGTTCTAAGTATGGGAGTTGCAGTAATTTAGCTTAATGATGAAACTCAGGTTTATAGATGAGGGTTTTGTTTTTATTCCTGTGACCTTACCCATGTTTGTGGTTAGATCATACTTGTACACTAAATGCTAGAAAAATGCCAGGTACAGAATGCAACATTGGTTGAAATAAACATAAGATAACCAGGAGTCTAGTACTAATAATTTTTTTTTTTGTAAAATGATATCAAATAACATTATTACCTTTCTCTGTTGCTTTTTATTTTTGGTTTGGTTCTGCACTTGTGTGTGATTTGCTTCAGTTTGGATTGTTGTATACTATTTTGGCAGTAGCTACTTGACAAATTATACAATAAAAGGCAGTTTAAGTCAGTTTTAATCGAATGTTGACATTTAAAGTCCGTCCTTGTTTCCCATATTTATAACTGTGTAAACCAGGTTGACAGTGCCTTAACAGCTGTCTGCTTTGCATTGGTGTCTTGACCCAGGATGCTAAATCACCCATTAGCCTATGTTAACACATGTGCATGGCTTAATGTTGTGGATGTATGTAGTAGATATTATTGCACCATTATCATTCTGCATTTAACAGTATTAATATTTTATGTGGTATTTTGCAGTATTTTATATATTTTTATGTATATATACATGTATCAGAAATGGATTTGAATAAATTTAAGGTCTTTCAATTTTAAAATCTAAACATTTTTATTGCTTAGTTAGTATGAATATTCTCATCACAGGGCAAATTGGTGACATATTTATTTCTTCTAAGATTTATAGTCAGGGGACAATCATGTATTTGTATATTTGTGTGGTAGTATGTTCATACATAATTTTGACATTAACATTAACATTTAACTTTTAAACTACAGATGAGATAAAGGTTAAGGTCATATAGAGGTCAAGGTTAAATCAGAATTAGGCCCCATTGTGATTTTACAGTGTATGAACATCCAGTTTCAAATGCAGGGAAATTTAAGTGTTTCAGCAAAATCTGATAGGATTTTATATATATCTGTATCATTTTTGTGAATCATTCTTTAAACTTTGTGTTTTTATTTTCCTGTAGGAGGCTATCAAGAGGCACAAGCAGAAAATATCTGAGCTGGCAGGAAAATCGGACACTGATTGAATCTACAGGAAACTACTTAAAGTTTGCTATCTGTATTTAAATAGACCAGTCAGACACTGTTGGACAAATTGTGCTAAAAAAACTGTGTAAATGTGAGAAAACATTTGTGTTAACAATAAAATTGTGATAATTGTTTTCTGATGAATGTTGTTGAATTGCATATGTATGTATAAGTATAATGGTAACCGAAAGATAATTGATGGGGTTTTTAATAAGAAATTTTAAACTAGATCTTGGAAGGTAGTGCAAACCATAATTACCCCCCTCATAAAAGAATTGGAGGGGACATAGTAACACGCTTGTGAGAGTGTGGGTGAGTGAATGCTTGCATAACAGAAGTAATAATTTACATTCAATATGCTCTTTTTGGAGGGGATGCTTTGCTTTGCAGTGCCCTTTTTGAATGCTTAAGATATATTTGATGTCAAGATATATGATTATTTTTCTTACAAAGTCCTTAAGACGAAGCCGTTGTCATGCATATCTGCACTATGTTCTTTGATTCGAGGGTAATGTCATTCAAAAATCGGTTTCAGAATCACTTGGCCAATGAAGGATTCCCTACATAAAGCAGGTTCAAAGAAGAAGGTACGGTTTCAATACAAATTTGGCCTTTTATTTTTTTAAAACTTGAAACAAAGGTAGGGGATTCATATAACCAATTTTCGTGGTATGTTTTCGGGCACTTTTAAAAGGTCTGCAACCCCGCGACTTAAGTTAAAAGAGGTCATAAATGCCAATTGTGATGTCATGATCTTGAGCATTTTCCTGTTATTTCTTAAAATATTGCAGAAGACGAATTTTCATTGGAGTTTTCTTTCAGACAATATAGATCACAGGCATTGCCCACTGTGGCACAGAGATTTTAAATGTAATTTCTTAAAAGATTTTACACAACATTCTGAAAATTGAAGTGGGAGACACCAACTGTGGACACTGTTTTCTTAAGGAAAATAATCCCGTCAATTAGTCATTTTGAGGCTTTTTTTCAGTTTAAAACTTGGAATTGTAACATCAATATGACGTCATATATCCAGAATGGTCCACCTATATGCCATATTCATTTCCAATTTATCACTTTCATATGTTCAACTCTTTAAGCAAATTTACAAAAATTTTTGAAAAAATTTTTAGGGCATATTATAAGCAAAACCGTACCTTCTTCTTTCGATAATACAGTTGAACTTCGGTATCTCTAATATCGATACCATATGGATATGTTGAAGTTATTTGGAAATCCCAACCACTTTTTCTTGATGTATTTTACCCTCAATATCTCTGACCCACGGATATATCGAAGTTTTTTTTATCAATCTCATCTAGCTCGAAATAACAATGTTTGGCTGTACAAGATCTATCACGATTACATGCTAGAATGAAACACCTCAATATTTTTTTTACTTAGAATTAGATGACAAATTCAAACCAGGAATACCCATGGGCGGGTCTATGCAGACCCCCCCCCCCCTTTAAATCTTCAGAGTTATTAAATTTCTATGTGAAAAGTAACGAAAAAATATGACCTTGGACCCCCCCCCCCTTCTAGGAAACGGTGCCTTTAGGAACGGCAAGGTGATTATCTATCAAAAGAAAATTGACTTAGTAAAATGCTGTCTCCTAGCCCCCTCCCCCCCCCTCCTTTCGAAATACGATTTTCAGGCAAATTGTTTAATTTTTTTGGCCGATTCCGGGTCCGAGATGTGGACCCCCCGCCCCCGAAAAAATCCTGGATCCGCCCCTGAGTGACAAAGTTATAAATTTACAGTTTTGCCACCTTAATAATTTTCCTAGTATATTTTATACGCTAGAAATTATAAAACAAAGCTAACTTACAGTTGGACGTCTCAAAAGTAACATCTGATAATATTTTTAAATAAGTTTGCCCCCACCCCCACCCCTCCCCCTGAACTGGATTAAAATACTGATCTCCACAGAAGCATATAAAGAGCCGTGAGCTTTTGTAGTGATCTGTATATCAATCAGATTGATACCCTGGGAGGGACATTGAGGGGTGATTTGAACAAATATGGATTTATACTACGTGAGGATGCTTTCATCTAATTAATAGGACTAATCATGGCCCTGCTGCTCTTGAGCTGGGGATTTTTATAGATTTTTTCCCCTATACATACCCATGAAAAACTTCGATCCCTTTCTGTAGCCCCATTAATGATTTGAACATTTGAATCTGCTCTACCCAACGATGATTGCATGTTAATATGACATCATGCCCCTCTTGTTCTTGAGAAGAAAATCCTAACTCGGCTCCACCCCTTCCTTGGGGGCATGCAATGACTTTATTAGTTTAAATCTGTACTTATCTTAAATTTTTCATATGTTTCATCTTTTTGAGCCAAGTATTTCCTGACCAAAAAAAAAAAGTAATGACCGACCCCATTTTTGCTTTCTCTTGATTACTCCCCTTGAAGTTGGCATGTGTCCCTTCATGTGAACGATTTAAGGTATTCAATGTATAGTGAAGGGATATTGAACAATTCTAAGTCATTGTAAACTAGTTAAATATGGATTGCTAGATAACTATAAGTGAAATGAACCAAATTCACATGACTGAATTTGCATATAAGAAGCCTGCCATTTTGCATCTTGAACGTTTTTGAAGAGTTATCTGCCCTTGATGAAAAGAAGAAAATTTTAATTTGGCCTAAATATCTGTGGTAAATGGTTCATTTTATTTCATATTTTAATAAAGTTACTTAAAGCATATTTTCATCAAGAGATTTGTATGAAGTTCATGTTACTTTTTACAACATCTTAATAACATATGCGCGTCGCCCGCGTGGCGCAGTGGTTAGAGTGTCTGCTCTAGAGTCGCGAAGTAAGGAGTTGATCCTTACGTCGCGGGTTCGAATCCCACTGTGGGACGTGGAGACCGGTCCTTCGGATGAGACCGTATAAACCGAGGTCCCGCGTGTCGCAGTAGGTGCTGGCACGAAAAAGATCCCTCACTGCTCAATGGCCGTAAGTGCCGAGTATAGGACAAAATTTGCAGCTCTCCACCGGCAAATGGTGGCGTCTCCATATAAGTGAAAAATTCTCGAGAGGGACGTTAAACAACATACAATCAATCAATAACATATGCGCTAACCATAGACTTCAATGTAAAATTCAAGGTGCAATTAATTGGACAATAATCAAAATTTTGTAAATTCCTTTGGTTGAGTATTTTTATTTGATAACACCTTCAAAATGCTACCATGATTAAAAATATTGAATCATTTATTAGGTACAAAATATGGTCGTTATACATGTACATTGAATGCCCTAAAGGAAGTCCTGAGACAAGTTTGGTTAAAACCTCGATCGGTACCTACAAAACCGAAATATTACATACACATTATTGAGAAAAAATTAAAGGGAATATATTTATAACTGAACTTCGGTATCTCGAACATGGATATCTCGAATATCATGGATATGTCATGGCCGCAGGAATAATTTTGCCGATATAGATTACTATAGTAAACATAGATACTCTATGCTTGTGCCCCCTCAATAAAAACGTCTGATGACCTTATGACCATTTTTTTTTAGCTCACCTGAGCTGAAAGCTCAAGTGAGTTTTTCTGATCACCCGTTGTCCGTCCGTCCGTCTGTCCGTCCGTCTGTAAACTTTTCACATTTTCGACTTCTTCTTAAGAACCACTGGACCAATTTTAACCAAACTTGGTACAAAGCATCCTTGGGTAAAGGAGAGGTTAAATTATTAAAATGAAGGACCAAGTCCCCTTCAAAGGGGAGATAATTAAGAAAATACAAAAATTGGGTGGGGTCATTAAAAAATCTTCTTCTCAAGAACCACTGGGCCAGAAAAGCTGAAACTTATGTGGAAGCAGCCTGGGGTAGTGTAGATTCTAAATTGTTCAAATCATGACCTCCGGGAGTAAGGCGGGGCCACAATAGGGAATCCAAGTTTTACATTGAAATATGTAGTAAAAATCTTTAAAAATCTTCTTCTCAAGATCCACTAGGCCAGAAAGGCTGAAACTTAAGTGGAAGCATCCTTGGGTAGTGTAGATTCTAAATTGTTCATATCATGACCCCGGGGGTAGGGCGGGGCCACAATAGGGAATCCAAGTTTTATATTGAAATATGCAGAAAATCTTTAAAAATATTTTTCTCAAGAACCACTAGGCCAGAAAGGCTGAAACTTATGTGGAAGCATCCTGGGGTAGTGTAGATTCTAATTGTTCAAATCATGACCCCTGGTGGTAGGGCGGGGCCACAATAAGTACTACAAGGGGGGGGGGGAGAAATCAGGTGAAAAACAGCAAGGCCCAAGTTGCTCAGGTGAGCGCTGTGGCCCATGTGCCTCTTGTTTTTGCTTGTCAGGAAATTTTTGGTACTGCCCCCTCAACTGTCAATTGAAAATGTATGGCGTTCCCCCTCCCCCAAACTGAATTTGCTTCCTACGGGCCTGTATGTCGAAGCATAGGCCTGAAGCCCCTTTGCTTTATCAGGGACCTATATACTAGTAGGCCTATAGTATATAGGTCCCTAGCTTTATGTGTAGATGGTTGAAGTAATTTAATTAGAAGATCATCTTTATTAATATTTTCCCCTCGAGTTCAAGATAACGAGGTGTGACTTTATGTATTCAAAACGTTTTTAAAGTCATTATTAGCTAGCTGCTGTACACGTGACTTCACTGTAACCTCAGTTTTCTAAACTGCTAGGGTGAAACTCACAGGTCACAAGTAGGAATATAGGCCTACACAGTGTTACGCGAGACTTCGCGAGATTTCAGTTTTGGAGATAAACAAACATGTCGGCCGGTGTGCAGTAAATAGTGCGATGGCGTTTTCTATCTTATATTGGGCAAATTATACAGCTGGAACCAAAAAATTGAGCAGAAAATCTGAAATAGCTGTACATTCTGACCATGTACTGAGGTTTATTTATGACCAGGAAGCTTCATACGTCCGCGGTGTGGTCCAAGCTTCAATGCGAGACAGGAGTTATGATGTAACGGTAGGCGGATTTCCCTTCATTTTGAGACTGAATACACAAAATAAAATGATAAGAAAACGTTTTGTTTGATTCTACTTATATATGAGCTAAATATATCAATATATTATCAATGGATATATAATATATAGATTAGTCTTGGAACGAATTATAATGTGGAGAACAGCACCTGTGAGTGTGTTAATGGGCAGGATAAATGTCACCATAAGGCTAGCCTCCTTCTCTATGGGTAATCTAATCTAAATTTATTTAGTCAATAAACAACTTATAAATCTATTGAATTTATTTTAAAGCATTCGATGGACCTACAAGCATAATAAAATATGCTATGCATGTTAATATATGTAACTTCTTTTCAATCCCCGGTGGACAAGTTCTAAACAAATTTCAATAAAATAAGTATGTATGTCAGGTATTTAATTCTCAACAGGTATAAGAATGTCTCCAAGACAGATGTTCGGCAGTCGTGGGTGAAAAATCCGAAGTCGGTCCCACCTCGACAAACCAAGACAATGGAGGACCTTTTCCCTGCAGCAGACAGATTTGTAAATTACAGGTTAGCTAGCTCATGATTACTACATTTACTAATGTGCAAAATATATATGATTATATATATATATATATATATAGAGAGAGAGAGAGAGAGAGAGAGAGAGAGAGATATGTGTGTGTGTATGTATGTTTGCATTTAACTTGTATTTCAATTTACAGTATGTAGTGAATGATAATATGTAGTGTACCTTAAGTATCAGATTTAATTATTTTGCATGGTAGGCCTTTGTGTTAAACCATTTAGCATTTTATTTTGCTCTATTTTTTTAACCTTTGTCAAAAATTATTAGGGCAACAAATAGGCCAGTCAATGATAGGGACAGGGAGTTCCTATATCAGAAATTGACTACTGTGGGGAGATTTTCAGGTTAATCTGATCCTTTTTTTTATTGTCACATGTTTAGCTTTGTTCTTGTCTTTTTTTTGTTCTTGTTTTTGTATTAAACTTTTAATAATACACTTTTATTATGTTTAAACCTATTTCTTTTACTCTGAAGGAGTTATTTGTACATTCTTTTCACATGTCATTGTATACATTGAAATCCCACACTTATTTGAAGTAGTGAATAAAATAAGTTTGAAAAAATATTAAACATATATACTGGTATTAATAATTGGTAATGTAACTGCAGTTTAATACAGGGTTATTGAGTATTTGCCTTATTTTTCTATGAGGGTTTAAATTTTTTTTTAATTTAATCAACAGCAATGCATTGGATACTATCCCCTGAGCCGCCTGTACCCACACTTGCAGTGCCTCTAGTTGAAGACCTCATATCTAGCCAGGAATTTATTTCTGCGGAAAATCCGATTGCTTGGATGAAGCAAAAATTAATGATTAATGAGCAACAAATCCAACAGGTAAAGACAAAAAAGTTGTGTAGTGAGTTGAAAGTATTCAGTTTTAATTTGAATGTTGTTTAAGTTTAAGGACTTTTGTAGATTGCCTCTCTTACCACTGGTCAAAAAGAAAATTGCATGTGGTCATCTGTTAGGAAGAATAGATTAACAGCATCAAACTTTGGTTGTGTTTTGGCAGCGATCAAGAGAAATAGGTATACCTGTAGTTATATGCCTTTATATGTACATTTAATTAAATAATACATGTAAAAGCAGTTAATTAAATCAAAAATATTGAAAATTTGATCCTTATTTAACAGATGTTCTTGCTCCTTATTTAATAGATATCCTATCTCCTTATACAAAAGACTATGTTCAGCTTATGATCTGTCAAAAAAGGATGCTATTATTTGGGGGATGTGCAATGAAAAAGTCGCCATTGAAAAGTACAAAACTTTTGGGGATGCAGTTGTAGAGCCAACAGGTTGGTATTTTTCTTTCATAAATCAAGCAAAATGTTAATTTCTTTAAGGCAAATAAATAATAATAAAAAAAATTGTACTTGAGATAATTTAAAATTCAGTTATTAAACTGAAGTTGAAGATAATGAGTATGAATATACTGTTTTGATGTTATGTTTATAACAAGTCTTCTTGTACATAAGTGCATAACAATATTCGGAGTGTTGCTTTATAATGTTATCCTGTAACTTTATAATGCTATTTATAAGGTATCTGGCTACACTGTAATGGGGTTCTTGGGTCAAGCCCAGATGGACTCATTCGTCGCCCAGCTGCATTCGAATTCAACTATCAGAATCCAGGACTAGCTGACATGTTAGAGATGTTAAACGTTAAGCCAGAAATTCTGGAGGTGAAATGCCCCTTTTCAGCGAAGAATATGACCATTCCAGAAGCTATTGAAAAAGTAAATGATTTCTGCCTAGGTAATAATAGTGTATATTAAGTATTTTTTTGAAAATGTTAATTATTTTCAATAACTCCAATATATATGTTTTATATGATAAAGTTAGGTACCCATGTAACAATTGTTAAAAGTTTTCTCCTCCTGTTGTAATTATAATGCTAGTACTCAAGGCATATAATTAGCGTTCTCACTTTATTGTAAGGAACAAATTACTTATAAATTTATACTAAATACATAATATTGTGTTTTAATGTTTGAAGCACCAATGAAAATTCTTATTCTATAAAAATGAGACAAATATATTTTTATTTATTTTTTCATACAGAGGTTCAGGATTTTCATGGAGTGAAATCATACAGATTACGAGAAAACCACCAATACTATGATCAAGTTCAAGGACAACTTTACATAACTGGAAAGTCCTTGTGTGATTTCATGGTCTGGACACCAAAAGACTGTGCTATTGTTAGAATTAACAAAGACGTCAATTGGGGAATTAACATATCTGTTTTGACAGACTTTTATTTCTGTAAATTTCTTCCTTATGTACAACAGCTATAAAATATAACATTAAACATGGTGAAAACATATTCTAATTTTAACATCTTAGTTGTCTACACTTGCAAAATTCTGAGCAATTTCTTGCATGAGAGGATCCTGAAAATTGACTAAAACACAGCATAATTGAAAGACTTTTGTAGAAATGTATCTAAATTGCTGAGGGACATGCCTTAAAATTTCATAATTTTTAATGCGTTCATTTGCTCTTTCAACATGTATGCGAGACTTGGCTATTTTTCTACATAGCTGGACCTCACTGGGGGTGTACTGGGATTTAGATGTGAGAAAGGGAGGAATATTTAAATGTACTCCTTGGGGCAACAACTTGTGAATAGTGAACCCTTTGTCTGCTAAGATCATATCACCTGGTGCTAACTGTTCTAAGACCTTACAATGTTCTACAATTGCAACATCAGATGTGCTGCCAGGGTACAATTTACTAATAAATACCAAAGCACCATTTGGTGCAACACCTGTAACACTTTTAACAGTGTGTGAATTTTTGTATCCACTATATGTGCTGGCCTGCAATCTCATGTCATTCCCTGGAACATCCTGGGTGATTTCCGTCGCATCAAGTACTATTCTACATGAACTGAAATCCCCAAAACTTATAGGCATAGACCCCTTGCACTTTTGGAGAGAAGGAATGCGACTCTCTACGAGTCCTTCATATAAAACTTCATGCAATGCACAAATCTGAGAAGTTACAATGTTATTTACAGATGACGCACTAGTGTTGAACCTCTCAGCTAGGTCCAAAAATGGGGTGTTCATTGTCAGTTTCATTAAAGTCATCAACAATTGGTCAGTCAAGGAAATGAAAGATGGTGTCCATCCATCAATATACTTTATCTGGAACCTCTGCATCATTTCATCAATGGCAAGAAACATGTCAGGACGTAGACTTGTGTACATCAGCATCTATATCAAAACATGACATTAAAAACACAGTGTCAAGAATGTTTCTTTTCTTTTATTATTCAAATTTATTTGCCCATGAAAATGAAAATACTGTCCAGCAGTATTTCATATAAACAGTTTTACAAGATATAAGCAGATTTATTTTCTTTCCTGGCATTGGATGTTCTAGCACTTATCCAGTCATTTATCACAGGCTGATGAACTGTCCAGCAGTTGGCCCATTATCACAATAAACATGTAAACTGAAATGAAAATACTTAACCGCAAAGTATCGTGTTCAAAGACATGTGTGATCACAGCTTATTTTTATGAAAGGAGATTTTCAACTATAAATTTAAACGTTTTAACAAGGTTTTTATAGCTGAAATTTAATTTAATGTCTATATTGAATGATAACAAAATTAAACTTATTTATCTTATATATACTATTTATACTATAATATACATGTTATATAATACCTGATATATTTATACTATTTATCTTCCGAAACGTACCTTCCTTTCTTCACTTATGATATCACCAATCCTGAATGCTCGCTTTGTTGACATCATCCTGACCTGTATTCTTAGTTCTTCAACCTCACGCCTCAGGTTCTGGTGAATACATGTAAAATGTACATATACCGACTTACAAATAAGAATTAAAACATGTACCAGGTAAAATACCAAAGACACCAAGTTTTAATATATCCTATCAGACATTTTTTTCTTAATAAGGTGAATGCTATTGCTACTATTGAAGTACATGCACTATGTCACTTATTTTTGTGTACAGCTGTCATATTTACCTGATTCTCTTCTTTTAACTGATGATATGAAGCCTGATAGGTGTGATCTAGAGAAACGTGTAATGGTTGACATGACATTGCAGTAGATTCACACTGGTCTTCAGAGACTGCTTTTTCTTTTATCTCTTTTTTTCCGGTTCTCGACAAGCTGAACAAAAATAAAATGTAACATTTTATGCACTGAAAACTTAGCTTTAATCAGTTAATATATGATTGTTTATTCCATCAGAAAAACATATAAACAAAATCATGTTTTACTACACTATATAAAAGTAGCCCTGTTATACAGTACCTGTTTATTTTGCTCGGATCAGGGAAATTGAACATTTTTCCACAACTCCATGGGAAGAGGGTGGGGCCATTACGCTTCTCACCATCTACAAAGTGACAGCTGCAGATCCTGTCATTCTGAGGGATCATGCTTCTATCCTTACGTCTGTTTTATTAATAAACGTTTTAAAAAGTCATATATTGATACATGCTCTGAAATGTATACAGCATTCTACGTACAAACAGATGACAAAGGTCAAAGATATGATAAGTGATGATACGTACCTGCAAAGTTTTTCCCATTTCTTCGCCAATGCGAGGCTGGTTGGGAAGCGAAACATCTTACATGTTTTTCTCAACCCTTGGTGGTTACAATCGAATACAAAACAAATTGTCATAACCGTATACGCCGCCAATCTACTATAATTGCACTATATATCGATCTCCAAGTTGTCTCCGGAAGTAGTTTACCGGAAGTGAGATTTTACGAGACTGTGTAGGCCTATTAATTTATTTGGACATGGGTGCTCCCCATGTAATTCTGTAAATGATAAGTATATATATATATATATATATATATATATATATATATATATATATATATATATATATATATATATATATATATATATATATATATAGGTTTACCCCACTATATCTGTATACCGCTTATAGTATAGGGGGGTAAACCTATATATATACTTAAAGAATTTCATGGGGGCGCTTATGACTTTGGACATGCACTCTTATAACTGTTTTCAAGCATTGAATTATTAGTTTTAAAAGATGCTTATTCTTATTATTTCGGGATTCTTAAACTGCAACGGTATGTGCAAACAAAAACGCGCGTTATGAATTTAATATTTGTTTGCGCGCCCCCTTTTTTCCGGCTCGGCTCACTGTGAGTGAATCCCCACATTACCCATACCAAGTAATTAGTGCTGAGCTGCGTGCATGACGAACGTTATGAAATTGCAGTTTCATTCAGTAATAGGATTATTGCAGATACCTCGGTGTATTTTCACCAACAATCTGAAAAGGAGTATATCTACAAAACATTTCTCTGTAAGAAAATTTATTTGATTATTGTTCATTGATTAAATAACTCCCTATTTAAAGATCGATGTAGTAGAGAAAATTCGGAAGCTGATTTATTTTAAGTTTTATTTTTCGGTTGCACATATTGGATACCTTATGGTATGTTTGTAGAAACACGGATGTATGTTCCGAACAGAAGCAAAGAGCAGTAAAGTAGACTATGGACAGAAACCTAGATCTGCAGTCTTTGAGCAGTGTAAAGTTAGTCTCCCATTCATAGCCACTCGTGTAAGTTGAGCCAGAAAGAGTACATGCGGTAAAAGCATATTTTGCCCCCATTGAAGCCAAATTTTGAAAATCTCTAGAAATGTATACCATTGTATATATACAGTTGTACTGTATGAAAAATCTTAATTGACAAAAATTTTTCTTAATTTTTAAGTAGATTATGGGCAATTCTTTTTGCTTTCAAGTCTGCAGATATTCACCTGGTTTAGAACATACAGTCAAACCTCGTTATCTCCAACTCAATGGGAGAGAGAAAAAACTTCAAGATATCTAATGGTTAGAGATATCCAGGGTAAAATACTTAAAGAATAAGGGGTTGGGACCTCCAAATAACTTCGACATATCCATGGTATTCGAGATATCAGTGTTAAGATACCAAAGTTCAACTGTATTTTAGATTTCTCCATCAAAGTTTGAACTTGTGGGCAAATATTGGTCATTAGAGAGTATTAAACTTTATATTCTTTTTTTTCAATTCAAAGTTTTAAATAAAATCTAAAATAAAATCAACATTCACTATCAGGGCCTGCATTTGAGTCATAAGGATCATGACATTGTGGATTTGCTGGAACAAGGATGTGAGCCTTTGCCATCAGATTTAGGCCTATGCACATACACACCTAAAGGGGCTTACTTATACCTTCTAGAAACACTACATGAATCTCTAACAATTGACTGGCAGTTATCTATATTACTGAGTAAGTATGGCTCTTTATCACAGTATGTTTATATAATTTCATATATTCAGATATTTTAGGGACTCAACAGGTCTAGACTATCTCCATTTTCAGAGTATAGTTTTTAATCTTCCAAAATTGGAGGATTTTGCCACCTACTGGACTCTTCAAGACAAAGGGCAGTGAACGCTTACCAAACAAAGAACAGTAACTCTTGCATTAGGAATGTTAAACTTTACTGATTTCTCAGTCAAAACAAATAAAAGATAATAAAATGTTGACAGTGTGACCGTAGTTGCACAGTTGTGTATTATTGGATAACATTCCTTTTCACTTTTAACTTAGATCATGTTAGATTTGCCTCAGTCTTAAATTCAAACTGTACGAGACAAACTGTGATGTTATATGATGTCATATGTTAGTTTCATATTTCCATAACAAAGTCTTAAATGTTCAATTTTTAACAAAGAATGTTAAATCTGCCATTTCTGCAATATCCGTTTAATAAAGGTTAGTTTATTTTTAGCTCACCTGAGCTGCAAGCTCAAGTGAGCTTTTCTAATCACACTTTGTCTGGCATCCATCTGTCTGTCCATCTCTCTGTCCATTTGTAAACTTTTCACATTTTTAATTTCTTCTCAAGAACCAGTGGGACAATTTCAACCAAACCAGCTGCCACAAAGCATCCTTGGGTGAAGGGGATTCAATTTTTTTCAAATGAAGGACCATGCCCTCTTTCAAGGGGAAATAATTAAGAAATAATGAAAAATTTGTAGCATCATTGAAAAATCTTCTACTCAAGAACCACTGGGCCAGAAAAGTTGAAACTTGTATGAAACCTTCATTACCTAGTGTAGATTCAAGTTTGTCCAAAACATGACCCCTGGAGGTAGTTGGGGATCACAATCGTTGATTGTAGTATCCTTGTGTAATTATACTTATCCAGAATTGTTGTATGTGTACATGTTTACTTTATAGAATATATGAAGTATAACCAGAAGTGTGAAAAATAAAAGAAGTCCATGCATTGGAACCATGTGGTTGTGTCGTCCTTGGTCATCTGTATGAGAGACTAAGGTATCACAGGGATCAAAGTTTGACATAGGAATATATGTAGAAAAAAAACCTTCTTCTCAAGAACAACAAAACCATGATTAGTCATATTGATATGGAAGCATCCTCAGGTAGTGTAAATTCAAGTTTGTTTAAATCATGACCCCTGGGGTAGGGTCGGGCAACTATGGGTGATCAAAGTTTTACATACTAGGAATATATCATCTTCACAATGTCAAGGTTTTGTGATAAGGTTCCTCTACACAAACCCTTGACAAAAGTTGCTATTTAAAAGTTCGGCTAGAAAATTACCATTACATTTGTTCCTGGTTTAGGACTGGAACCAATCAGAAAACAGCCTTTATTGTAAGAAGAAGATTTGTAAACAAAGTTTACTAAGTTTTGTAAACAAATATGACTTGTCTTCAAAAGGAAAGTGCCGATATTGTAGGGTTTGTGACTAGTTGTCTCAAATAAAATATTGGAGAGTAATGTTTGGAAGATCCTCCTCCTTATAATCACAAAAGACGTGCTATGGTTTTGAGTCGCTCGAAAATGACGGATTTAAAAGATATATTCTCATTGGTTGGGTTATAATTAACCATTGTGTTATCTGTAACCACAAACTCAATTTTAAATAGAGACTTTTGTCAAGGGTTTGTGAAAAGGGATGGTATCACAAATTTTTGACATTGTGAAGATGGAAATATATCATAAAAAATCTTTAAAAAAACTTCTTCTCAAGAACAGCAAAGCTATGATTAGTCTTATTGAAATAGAAGCATCCTCAGGTAGTGTAAATTCAAGTTTGAATTGGGTAGGGTGGGGCTTCAATAGTAGTTAAAATTTTTACATAGGTATATATAGGAGAAATTGACTCAGGTGAGCATTGTGGCCCAAGTGCCTCGTTTATTTGTAAACTTTTGTTTGGTTATCACGAGAATTCGTATATATTAAATGAAAAATCTTCCTCTAAAGAACCATTGACCAAAAACAATGAAACATTTATAAGTGAAAGCCTCCTGAGGTAGTGTAGATTAAAAATTGTTTTAATCATGGCACCCAGGAGTAAGGTAGGGGCACAATAGGGAATCAGATTTGTGAGGCCTATGGGCCACAGGCTCACCTGAGCATTTTATGCTCAATTTGATGCATCCATGTATATATTTTGTGTAAATTATAGAATTATTGTGGGTTCTTCACTGGTTACCCAAGTAGGAAGGAGAGTATATTTGGAGCCAAACACCTTTGTGCTGGTATTACTGCCTTAAGACAGCATCTAGTTTTATTTTTATTTAATTACTCTATTGATATTCATAATATTTTTTAAGGAGTATTATCCTGTGAATACCTCTTGACTATTCATTTAAAGAGTCATTCTGTTATTAGTGCATCAAAAAAGACTACAATAAGTTGAAATCATTAATTTGTGAAAGAATAACAGATTATAATTATTTTAATTTTAGGTTCTATTCTTATAAGATTAGCAATAATACCGCTGACAATGAAAAGGCAAAAGGAGATAGAGAGAAGAAATAAATTTACTGCTGGAATCTGCGTAAACAGTATCCTTTGTAAAGAACAGAAAAAAAAGGCTGAAAAGGAAGAAGACAAGGATTATCAAGGTTAATTATACAGAAATAAAATTAAATTTTTAGCCAAAGGAAATGTTAATCTTAATTTATGTCAAGTGACCAAGTCCCTTGAATGATAAAAATGAGATTTATTATTAACTCACCTGAGCTGAAAGCTTAAGTGAGCTTTTCTGATCACATTTTGTCTGGCATCCATCTGTCTATCTAGTTGTCTGTCTGTCTGTAAACTTTTCACATTTTTGACTTCTTCTCAAGAACCACTGGGCCAAATTCGACCAAACTTGCCACAAAGCATCCTTGGGTGAAAGGAAATTAATTCAAGTTTGTTCAAATGGAGGGCCACGTCCTCTTTTAAGGGGAGATAATTAAGAATTGGTGAAAATTTGCTGTCATCTTTTAAAAATCTTCTTCTCAAGAACCATTGAGCCAGAATAGTTGAAACTTACGTGAAGCCTTAATTACATAGTGTAGATTCAAATTTGTTCAAATCATGACCCCTGGGGGAAGGGTAGGGCCACAATGAGGGATCAAATTTTTACATAGGAATATATAGGAAAACATTTTTATCTTCTTCTCAAGAACAACAAAACCATGATTAGTCATATTGATATGGAAGCATCCTCAGATAGTGTAGATTCAAGTTTGTTCAAATCATGACCCCTGGGGGGGGTAGGGTGGGGCCACAGTGGGGGATCAAAGTCTTACATACTAGGTATATAGGAAAAATCTTTAAAGATCTTCTTCTCAAGAACAACATAGCTACGATTAGACATATTGATATGGAATCATCCTCAGGTAGTGTAGAATCAAACTTGTTCAAAACATGATCCCCAGGGGTAGGGTACTGGGGCCAAAATGGGGGATCAAAGTTTTACTGTAACATAGGAATATATAGGAAAAATCTTCAAAAATCTTCTAATGAACAACAAAGCCATGATTAGACATATTGATATATAGAAGCATCCCCAAATATTGTAGTTTCAAGTACATATGAATATATAGGAGAAGAAATCTGCTGATGAAGAACAGCAGGACCATATTGACTCAGGTGAGTGTTGTGGCCCGTGGGCCTCTTGTTCATGACTTAGTTCTGATTTGTAGATTTACAGAAGTTACAGAACAGTATTTTAAACAACTTAATCTTCCATCGCAGTTTTGTGTATTCCAAATTACGGGAATATCTTCCACAGGTAAATGTATTTGAAATGAATTTCATGTCCTTAGTTTGTTTTGTTTGAACTTCTAGAATAGACTTTCCAGAAACAGATTTAGTGTTCAAAACCTGTACCCCAGTACATACATGTACATGTACACATGTTTGGAAATTCTTTTACTCAAGAGGATATTAAAAAAAGTGACCGATAAATGTAGGTCACCAGAGTCGGATGACATATTGCTTCAGTTCTCCATTTTTGTTCATTATTTGTACTTGTCGAAAGGCCTGAGTATCGAATACTGAATCGGTATTCAAATACATGTACTTGGGAAAAAACCCATACAAGCTATCTCTTCATTGTTATTGTTATTTGTCAGGCACATCATACTTTCAGAGATCATTGTACTGTAATATCCCAATTACCTAGCTTGGATTTATGACCCTGCCATGTTCTGACAAAAATTAAAGTCATAATAGCACCTCAGTCATTGGTGGCACATTGTTTTGTATATAGCTTGGGACATATCATGATGGGAGCACTTACAATTGGATAATATAGTCATAATTGGAAATTAATTCAGTAAAATATAGCTTGGTCTTATGTATTAGTTGGAAGCTAAATGTTTCCATTTTTTTAAGTCTGGGATATTTTAAACAAACTGAAAATTCATAAACTATAAAACGTCAACTAAGTGAAGCTGAGTTTACTTAGTAATGCATGGGAGGGACAATTTAAAATGTTTAATCGTTAACGTATCAAGCATAGTGACATCAAAGAAATACAGGTGAAATAAATGTTTAAACTTTCTATATTTTACTCGCAGTAAAAAGTTTGTCAGACAGATGATATAAAGTGAGCCATATAGTTGACAGATAGTTAAGGCTTACAATTCATTGGGAATGATTGAGAAACATGAACAATGGAATTCTGAAATTGTACTTTTATCATGAAATGTACTTGGTACATTGCATTTGATATTGATAATCATATGAAAAGCCCATTAACTCAAATTTGCATGTAACTCGATTGGAAAGGCAAACAAGAACTCCTTACTAAAAATTTATTGATTTGACAACCCCATTTATTTAAACAATAAAATGCTTTCCTAGTATGGAAATTGATGTGGCAGCTGTTGCAGAAAAAATGCATAACCTGCATAAGCGGGATATGTAAATTTTTTTCTGCAATAGCTGCAACGTTAATTCCCATACTAACAAACAAAGAAGGATGTTTTATTGTTTATATGTATGTCTGTATAAATAATCTTATAGAGTAGGATTAAGTTTTTAAAAAAATATTGTATTATTGATTGTCATTGTATGTTTTCTTGATGGAAGAGCCACTGCTCAAGAAAACTATACAGTTGGCTTGTTAAGCAACGTTAAAGTATTGATAAATGACCACGGTTTTCATAAGAAATAAAGAAGATAATATTTATTGGACATAAATATTATATTATTATTAAATTTCCATTCTAAGGATCCTTTACAGGATTGTATATACTTGAGTGACAGTTAAGGTCGTCCTTGGTCTCTTGTTCTTTAGACATTTTGCTTTCTTTTGTAGATAGTGGCAACTTTGATTTTTGCAGACAGCATTCTTAATTTAGAGGCCCTAGTGGGTAGAACCTACATATGTCCACCAGATGGTGCTAACTACCAGTCTTTAATACTTTTGGTAAGTTAAATAGATAGGAATTATTAAATCATATAATAAATCTTCATATCTAAGGTATCTTAAGCACTCTTCTGTTAATTAAGAAATACCAAATTAAGTTACTGGTTTGCACTTCATGGAACTCAATATCTGCCAAAATTATTGGCATACCATTGAACAAGCAAAATGCCAAATTTTACACCCGCTAAAGAAACCCGCTATACAGGATAATGGAAATGGTGCATTTACTTTTTACTCACTTAAATCTCCTCCTTCTATGGTAATTTAGACAAACTTTAAAATCAGAAATTAAGGATATTTTTCGTAGAATTTTCAATAGCTTATGAATTTTTTTTTCTTTTTTTACGCCTGGATTACTTTTATATGCCAATGTGTTCAACTTTGTGGAAGTGAGCTAAAACTTGCGAAATATTTCAAACGAGTAAGAAAAAAATTGTCCAAAGTTCCTTTATCTTTTAGATGTTCATCCTGACTATGTCTCCTATGGTAATGCGCTGTTTACAGCCAGGAAATGAGAAGTCAATAGTTTTCGTTAGTTTTACTGGCCTCTTGTGGCTTGCCATTATAGATTCCATGTCTATGGTAAGATTTGACTTTCAAGTTATGGACAACTTCATATTGACAATAAATAACCAATAAAAACAAACGCAATTGAACTTCTTCAGGCCGTAGTTTCTACAAAAACTGTGTGTGTAATTGTTCATGCCAACTGTTTTTATTTTGTTTTATCTGTCATTTCAAGTTTTAAAGTACTAAGTAAAAGCTTTTAAAACATAATACATGTAATTTAAATTCATTTTTCTTTAGAAACTTAGGTTATTCTTGCTGCCAATGCTCTCAGTGTCAGCTGTGCTCAAGATACTTAAGAGTAAGTTTCTGATATACTGTCTCCAAATGTTACCCGAAAAATAGAGATTACATTGATGCCTGTCATCACCCTTCTGTTGTAACCTGAAGAATACTTTAGCTTCATCTCCAAGACTGATAGAGCAGTTTTATTCATTTTTACTTCATAGGTTAGCATTTTTACTGAGGGATGCCCAAAGAATCTGTAACTTTCCTAGATTCCCTTATGGATAGTTGATTAGTTCAAAAGTAATGCAATATTTTGACTATTTTCTCCTTTACTTTTGTAGCAGGCCAATTTTAATATGTCAAGAATATAATAAAAAGCGACTCCTTAACTGAATATAAAATGCATTTATTTTTTCAATGTATCATGTTGAAGTAAGCTTTTAATCCTTATGAAAAAATCATGAGAAGATTTCTCAGTTAGATTAAATACGTATAATTGGTGTTTAAAAAAACTGCTATTATAGATACCTTGCCTTTTGTTAGGGCCCAAGGTTTTACAGGTGCTTTCTTGTACACGTAACCGCACTGTGTGTCAATCCACAAAATTTCTTTTTTCAGTTAGGACCTCATTTCATGATTGTCTTAAAAGATTCAAATTTGTTATGTTGCTCAGAAGGCAAAAATTTATTTTGATATCAAGTTTGACATTGTTTGTTGTTGTCTTGATGGAGGCTAGGATGGTAATAACTTTGCAAGAATGGGCAAAGAGAGATAACTTCCCAAAATAATGATTTAACCCCCCTTTTGTGAGACCTTTTCTGATTGGTCAGTTTTCCAGTTTATATTAATTGTTGCTCCATTCTCTTCTCTCTGAAGTATGTTTAGACCACATATAATTTACATTTAAATTTTTTTTCTATATAGAATATATATCCTGAGGTATATTCAATCCTGATGTTAGGACAATGACAGAAAGATTTGAAATTTTCAAAGTCGTTCAAAGCATCAGTGGCAGGTGGCATCCATTACCAGTGTAGGAGAAACATGGAGAAGAAATATTCATCACCAGAGCAAAGAGACAAAGGCATTAGTAAAGTTAACAGATATGGCGATTTTTACGGAAAACAAAATTTAAAAGTACTCAACGTTACAAAAAATAAATTCCAAGGTTTTAAAACCATATGCTAATTGTATATTTATCATATTTTATGTGCATTATCTTTACAACTGTTACATCAAATTGTGAAAACTATATTTTTTCTCTTTTTGCTTACTACTCAGGTGACCTTAAGGTCCTTGGGCTTATTGTTACTTTGTATCATTTTAAAAGATCATTTGTTGAAATAGATGAAATAAAACATTTGAACAGCTCCTTTTTTTTTTTATACCCCCCGCAAACGAAGTTTAGGGGGGGTATATTGGAATCAGCATGTCCGTCTGTCTGTAGACGAGATTTTGTCCGGACCATTTCTTGGAAACTGTTGGAAGGATTTGTTTGAAAATTTGTACACTTATTATTCACCATATGAAGGTGTGCACCTGGTATTTTCATTATGATTGGATAATTATTTTGCATTTTACAGGTGTTTTTTTTCATTTTTATTATGTGGTTTTGTCTGGATCTGTTCCCAGAGACTATTGCATAGATTTGTATGAAAATTTGTACACTTATTATTTACCATATGAAGATGTGCACCTGGTATTTTCAACATTATTTGATAATTTTTCTGCATTTTACAAGTGTTGTTTTTTAATTTAATTTATTGACTTAGTCATTTCGGGTTCATGTCTAAGGTTTGAGACATAGAATCTAGAACATCTGTACAAAAATGTGAACTACAGCTTAAAACTGCTCATTAGAACTAAAAAAAAAAACAAAGTATTAAAAACAGTTTTTACATTACACAGCAGATAGTGTAAATCCATTTGTCCCTTGGGAGTAATGAGTGGACATGCATCCAGTTAAAGATTAATTAATGAGTTCAGTGTGGGAAGCTGTTAGGGCATCTCTGATCAAGCAGGTCTTATCTATATCTCCTGGGAATTGGGCAGAAAGAAATAAAGATCTTTGTTGTCTAAGTCTCTTAATTGTAATTTATGTCTGTGAAAATACATAGTTACTAAAACCAGCCTTTTATTTTTAAAATGAGTTTGATATAAAGGTATTAAAATAAATTTGATTTTCTATAATTAATTATGATGTTTTTTTTTCAACAATCAATTTGCAGAGTGTCATGTCTCACAAAGATGACAGATAGTTGCAAACTATTTTTTCAATGTAATAAAAAACACCGTAATTATTAGTGTTGATGTTTTATTAGGCTGCACCTTAGTTTCCTTCATTAAATAGAGTGCCCCACCAGAGCATGATACGCCCATCAAATATTGTTAAATTATCATAAACAGTATAGATTCATTTGTTTGAATGACATCTTAGTGAGACAAGGCAGTCTGCAATTTGTTGTAAAGATATAAAAATTCAAATAAAAAATGTACAATAAATAATTAGTTTAAATTATATTATACAATATCATATAAGTTTTAATTATTATATACAATATCAAATTAGTTTTAATTACATCAAATTTATCTTGAAAGTAAGACTAGCCAACAAGAACAATTCAATACAACACAAGCAATTAATTAAGAGACTGATTCCTTTTGCCCAATTCCCAAGAGATGTTGATAACACCTGCTTGATCAGAGATGCTCTACCAGTTATCTCCTCACACTAAACTCATTAATTTCTCTCTAATTTGACATGCAATTTTCTGCCATCAAAATTTTCCTTGACCAGTGCCTGATCATTACACCCATGGGAGAGGTGGAATTTTTGTTGTTACAGATTGCTGTAAAGAACATAATGAAAAAAATAAGACTAGTATTTTCTTGATTTAACACTTTTTTAATAAAGATACTGCAATACTCTGACATCTTTTTGGATTGTGTAATTTAAAAGTTAAAAGACATAGTTTTTTGATTCTAAGTCTAATGGTTTTCTAGTTATGATTTTTCCATATTTGGCCATAGCGTCTTTATTAAATGTCAGAGCGACCTGGTTTTAATGTGCGACACACCTTCTACCCTAGATGTATCAGCTGACAAAGTTTGATAATTCTAGGCCTAATAGTATTAAAGTTATGAGCTGGACATGAAAAAGCTAACAGACGGACGAACATGAACGCTATAACATAATACGCCCTGTCGTAAGACGGACATATAAAAATATATTATGAGTAATTAAATTTTCACTGTAAATGTTTAAGGAAATTGTGAACACCTCTCACATCTAGAAAACATTAGTGATTTGGTACTTTCTCTGAAAAACCCAGCGGGGGGTATTTGTCCCTTTTGGACAGTTCTAGTTATATTTTAAAAGATTTTAATGAATTGATATCCTTGGAAATTTTGACAATTTATTCTGTATACAACTTACACAAGCATGACCACTCATTTTGTACTGCTTAGTTTTTTGACCAAGTTTTTTGTGTGTCATTACTTTTACACCTTGTGTAGCCTAAACTGACTTTAGAGTACATTAAAAGAGGGGCGCCTTTTGCGTATACTGTAGAATATCACTATTCGTGGGTCACCCTTACCCCTGAATTTACATCCCCACTATTGTTTAATTTTGTAAAAGTATTGATTCATTGAATCTACCATATAAACAAGTAACCAAGTTACCCACGAAATTACATCCTCACAAACAAGTAAAATTTTGCTTGCCCAAAAACATTGACCCCCATAAAATGATTCCACGGTAATCTACACAAATCATTTTAAGAAATCATTTAAAGTTTATATGCCCAAGCAGGCGGTTTGGTCAGCTGACCACAGTGGGCAAAAGTTGGGCAGATAGGAAATGTTACATTATATTGAAATACCTTGTCAAACTAGAGGCCCAGGGGCCACATCGCTCACCTGAGCACTGTGGTGAGGAAAAATCAGTTTAGTATCGAAAAGCTTAAATGCATAAGTGGTCCCAACCTACCCCTGAAAGGGAGTGGGGGGTATGATTTGAACAAAATTAAATCTACACCAAGGATGCATACATAATTTTTTGACTGTGACTTTTTTCTCTACAAGTTCAAACTTTCATTGTGGCCCCACCCTACCCCTGGAGGTCATGATTTGAACAAACTTGAATCTACACTATCTGAGGATGCTTCCATATAAATATGACAAACAGTGGCTTTGCTGTTCTTGAGAATATTTTTAAAGATTTTTCCTATATATTCCTATGTAAAACTTTGATCGCTCATTGTGGCCCCACCCTACCCCCAGGGGTCATGATTTGAACAAATTTGAATCTACACCACCTGCAGATGCTTCCACATAAATTTGACCAATCATGGCTTTGCTGTTCTTGAGAACAAGATTTTTGAAGATTTTTCCAATATACTCCCATGTTAAACTTTAATCATCCATTTTGGCCCCACCCTACCCCTGGGGGTCATGATTTGAACAAACTTGAATCTACACCACTTGAGGATGCTTCCATATAGATATGACCAATCATAGCTTTGCTGTTCTTGAGAAGATTTTTCCTATATATTCCTGTGTAAAACTTTGATCGTCCATTGTGGCCCCACCCTGCCCCCGGGGGTCATGATTTGAACAAACTTGAATCTACACTACCTGACAGTAATTCCACATGAGTTTCCTTTCCTGGCCCATTCGTTCTTGAGAAGAAGATTTTTCAATAATGCCATTAATTTTTGGCTATTTCGTAATTTTCTCCCCTTGGAGGAGGGCTTGGCCCTTCATTTGAACAATCTTGAATCCCCTTCACCCTAGGATACTTTGTGCCAAGTTTGATTGAAATTGGCCCAGTAGTTCTGGAGAAGATGAAAATGTGAAAAGTTTACAACAATAACAAAGACGATGACAGACAACGGACAAATTTCGATCAGAAAAGCTCACTTGAGCCTTTGGCTCAGGTGAGCTAAAAAGTACTATTTATTCAAGTTTGATCATCTTAACAGTAAATAAATGACGACATATGTAACATTTCACATGGTCAAAAGTATAATACAACACTGTAAAGAATCCACAGAGGTATCAAATAAAACAATGAGCAGAAGCTGAAAATGTTCAAAAGTGATATGACCAACAACCGACAAACAGATAGCAGCAGATCACCTGAGTGACTTGGGTGACCTAACAAAAAATACCATTTGGACACAGACAGGGTTTACAGACAGAGATTACTATTGAGCATCTCTGCTAAAAGTTGTTCAGAAAAATTCAAAACAGGTGAGCATATTTTTTTTTTTTAATTCCAATAATTTATCAATACATATTTTCAGTTCATAACAAAATGTTCACATCATACAAATACAGTGCATGCACATTTGTATTTCCAAATCAGGTGTTTAGGTTTGGCAACATGTTCCCTTGAATCTCTTCCTTGTATACCAAAAAATATTATCATGATTTCTAAACCTTTTTCAAATGTCATAAAAAATATAAATAAACTAAATGAAATAGAAATTCATTTCCAAATAGGATTTCCAAAAGGATTATATAGGAAATAACATCCTCTTGAATGCACAAATGCCTAGTGATGTACCTAAATCTTGTGTGAGAAAACAAAGTTAAAAGAGGCAACATTTGAATCTCAAATTCTTGTGAAAAATTATATACACGCTGTACTCCTGTTTTGAGGAACGTCGTCTTCCCTTACATTATGAATTACACTGCTGTAATTCTGTTAAACACTTCATTTTTTTTATTTTACAAATTAGTTTATACATCTTAAAAGTAGACAAAAACATCACAGCATTTTTCCCTTGCAGTAATACAACTTTTTGAAGGAAACAGAAGTAGTTTGAGTTTATGTTTAGAATGTTTCATGTTTTACAAGCACTGTCTAAGATTAAATCAGATTAAGAAGACAACATCATCTGCCAGCATCACTTGATTAGCTTCCATCATTTTGTTGATTGCTCCAAATATTTCATCCTCTGAGTATTCATCACCATAGTCTTTGGAAATTTGACCTTTCACCTTTTCAAGTGACACAGATTGGGCATGCTCAGATTTGAAGAGGTTTAACAATGATGTTCTAAAGTTTTTCATCCTGAAATAAAATAATACATTAATTCACTTGAAATTTGCAAGCATGTATAAATTATGACTGCTCTTCAAAATTTGGTTTAGCTGAACAGATTCATGAAATTTAGGAAGATGATATAAGATAGAAGAGTATTTAAAATTCCATTTCATGAAGTCTTGATTGCAATGGTAAGCTCCCCATCTGCTTTATACTAAATGAATAGGTGGGACTGAAGCATACAGAAGCCCTCATTATCTTGAACTTATTGGGACGGAGATATTCAAGTTTCAAGATATCCAGGTTAAAATATAT